GAAATATCTACTTTCCGGGAAAGTTGGTTATCTACTTTTCCGAAAAGTAGATTATCTACTTTTTGGGAAAGTAGATTATCGACTTTTCAGGGCAGTAGATTATCGACTTTTGGGGGAATATTACCTAATTTTGTGAAGTAGATTATCATAGAAAACGGGAAATTTGTATCACAGAAAATGGGAAATATCTACTTTCTGGGAAAGTTGGTTATCTACTTATCATAGAAAACGGGAAATTTGTATCATAGAAAATGGGAAATATCTACTTTCCGGGAAAGTTGGTTATCTACTTTTCCGAAAAGTAGATTATCTACTTTTTGGGAAAGTAGATTATCGACTTTTCAGGGCAGTAGATTATCGACTTTTGAGGAAATATTACCTACTTTGTGAAGTAGATTATCATAGAAACGAAATTTGTATCAGAAAATGGGAAATATCTACTTTCTGGGAAAGTTGGTTATCTACTTATCATAGAAAACGGGAAATTTGTATCATAGAAAATGGGAAATATCTACTTTCCGGGAAAGTTGGTTATCTACTTTTCCGAAAAGTAGATTATCTACTTTTCAGGAAAGTAGATTATCGACTTTGGGAAATTCAGAAAATAAATTTTAGAAAGTTATTCATTTTTTCTCGAAAAAGTAGATTATTTACTTTTTAGGAAAGTAGATAATGACTTTTGGGAAATATTACCTAATTTTGTGAAATTTCAGAATCTGAAATTTGTATCTCAGAAATATTCACTTTCCTGGGAAAAGTAGATTCATTTCTCATAGATAACAAATTATGGCTTTTCTATGATAATCTACTTAATTAGGTAATATTTCCAAAAGTCGATATTCTACTGCCCTGAAAGTCGATAATCTACTCTTCCAAAGTAGATAATCTACTTTTCGGAAAAGTAGATAAACAACTTTCCCGGAAAGTAGATATTTCCCATTTTCTAGATACAAATTTCCGTTTTCTATGATAAGTAGATAACCAACTTTCCCAGAAAGTAGATATTCTGGTGATATAAATTTCCTGTTTATGATAATCTACTTCACAAAATGTAGGTAATATTTCCAAAAGTCGATAATCTACTGCCCTGAAAAGTCGATAATCTACTTTTCCTGAGTGTAGATAATCTACTTTTCGGAAAAGTAGATAACCAACTTCCCAAGTAGATATTTCCATTTTCAGATACAAATTTCGCCGCGATAATCTACTTACAAAATTAGGTAATATTTCCCAAAGTCGATAATCTACTGCCCTGAAAAGTCGATAATCTACTTTCCCTGTGTAGATAATCTACTTTTCGGAAAAGTAGATAACCAACTTCGGAAAGTAGATATTTCTATTTCTGTGATACAAATTTCCTGTTTTCATGATAATCTACTTCACAAAATTAGGTAATATTTCCAAAGTCGATAATCTACTGCCCTGAAAGTCGATAATCTACTTTGTAGATAATCTACTTTTCGAAAGTAGATAACCAACTTTCCCGGAAAGTAGATATTTCATTTTCTATGATACAAATTTCCTGTTTTCTATAATAAGTAGATAAACAACTTTCCCAGAAAGTAGATATTTCCCGTTTTCTGATACAAATTTCCTGTTTTATGATAATCTACTTCACAAAATTAGTAATATTTCCCAAAGTCGATAATCTACTTTTCCCAAAGATAATCTACTTTTGGAAGATAACCAACTTTCCCGAAAAGTAGATATTTCCCATTTTCTGTGATACAAATTTCCGTTTTCTATGATAATTTACTTCACAAAATTAGGTAATATTTCAAAATCGATAATCTACTTCCCAGATAATCTACTTTTCGAAAAGTAGATAACCAACTTTCCCGGAAAGTAGATATTTCATTTTCTGTGATACAAATTTCCCGTTTCTATGATAATCTACTACAAAATTAGGTAATATTTCCCAAAAGTCGATAATCTACTGCCCTGAAAAGTCGATAATCTACTTCCAAAGTAGATAATCTACTTTTCGAAAAGTAGATAACCAACTTTCGAAAGTAGATATTTCCGTTTTCTGATACAAATTTCCTGTTTATGATAATCTACTACAAAATTAGGTAATATTTCCCCAAAGTCGATAATCTATGCCCTGAAATCGATAATCTACTTTCCCAAAAAGTAGATAATCTACTTTTTGGAAAGTAGATAACCAACTTTCCCGGAAAGTAGATATTTCCCATTTTCTGTGATACAAATTTCCCGTTTTCTATGATAATCGACTTCGCAAAATTAGGTAATATTTCCCAAAAGTCGATAACCTACTTCCCCGAAAAGTCGATAATCTACTTTCCTGAAAAGTAGATAAAATTATCTACTTTTCGGGAAAGTAGATAACCAACTTTCCGGAAAGTAGATATTTCCCATTTTCTGTGATACAAATTTCCCGTTTTCTATGATAATCTACTTCACAAAATTAGGTAATATTTCCCGAAAAAGTCGATAATCTACTTTCCCAAAAAGTAGTAGATAATCTACTTTTCGGGAAAGTAGATAACCAACTTTCCCGGAAAGTAGATATTTCCCATTTTCTGTGATACAAATTTCCCGTTTTCTATGATAATCTACTTCACAAAATTAGGTAATATTTCCCAAAAAGTCGATAATCTACTTTCCCAAAAAGTAGATAACTACAACTTTCCCGGAAAGTAGATATTTCCCATTTTCTGTGATACAAATTTCCCGTTTTCTATGATAATCTACTTCACAAAATTAGGTAATATTTCCCCAAAAGTCGATAATCTACTGCCCTGAAAAGTCGATAATCTACTTTCCCAAAAAGTAGATAATCTACTTTTCGGAAAAGTAGATAACCAACTTTCCCGGAAAGTAGATATTTCCCATTTTCTGTGATACAAATTTCCCGTTTTCTATGATAATTTACTTTGGAAAATTAGGTAATATTTCCACAGAAAATGGGAAATATATACTTTCTGGGAAAGTTACTTTACTTAACATATGTAATATGTACGACACCACGACCAAGAAAGTTATAAGGCCCGTGGTAGGGCCACGGGGGCGTCCGTGATATGGCCCCCGGGGTCGCCTCCTTCACTGGAAGGGCCCCTAAGGACCCCGCCATGCTTGGGAGAGACTCTGGGACCGACCCCACCCATGGGAGGGCCCATATAATCGCCACCTACCCTGGGGTCGTCATCGCTCTTGGGATTGCAGGCACCCCAGGGAGGGCCTGTGGGGGCACCTCCACCCTTGGGAGGACCCCGCGGGTCGCCTTCGCCCTTGTGAGGGCACCTGAGGTCACCGCTGCCCCTGGGATCACTGACACCCGTGGAACGGCCCCTGGGGTCCCCGCTTGTCCTTGGAGGGCCCCTGGATTCGACACCATACTTGGAAGTGCTCTTGGGGTCGCCTTCGCTAGTAGGAGGGCCCCTGGAGTCACCGTCGACATTGGCAGGGCCCCTGGGGTAGCCTCCCTCCCATGGAGGGCCCCTGAGATCATCGCCACCCGTGAGAGGACTCCTGGGGTCACCGTTGCTTCTCGGAGGGCCCCTGGTGTTGCCACCGCACCTGGGAGGGTCCCTGAGATCGTTGCGGCCACTGGGAGGGGCCCTGTGGATGACACCGTCACTGGGAGGGGCCCTGTGGACGACACCGTCACTGGGATACCCCCCGTGGCCACGCCGCCTTTGGGATGGGCCCTGGTGGCGCCCCCGAACATGCCTCCGCTTCTGGGTGGCCCCTAGGGGCATCGCCGCCCTTGGGTGGGCCCCTGGTACCGACTCCACCCATGGGAGGGCCCTTGAATTGCCGCCAACCCTGGGAATGCCCCTAGGGTTGCCGTCACCCATGGGAGGGCCCCTGGGGTCCCCGCTGCCCCGGTAAAAGCCCTTTGGGTCACCAAAGCTCCTGCTAGGGTACGTGGCATTGCAGACGCCCCTGGGAGGGCCCCTGGATGTGCCGCACCTGATAGAGCAAATGGGAGGGCTCCAAGGATCGGTTCCTATTTGGCCCCTGGGGGCAGTTGTTTTTGCACTATTTAGAACTCTGGGAGATATGACATTGAATAAGTACACCGCCCACCGCATTTCCAGTATCATCGCTTCCCGAACACTGTAAAGGAGACTAAATATCCAACAGGAAAACATAAGTTGGGGTGTTGTGCTGGTTAGAATTACCCTTTGTTCTGTTATATTATAGGTTAGAATTCCTTGTTGTTTTATGTATAAGTTAGAATTACCTTTTGTTTTATGTATATTATAGGTTAGAATTACCTTTTGTTTTATGGGAGAGCCCCTGGGGGCGCCAGCGCCTCTGTCAGGGCCTCTGGGGGCACCGCCGGCCCTGCGAGGGCCTTGACCGTCCCTAGGAGAGTGCATGGGGGCTCTGCCGTTCCTGGGAGGGCCGCTGTTCCTGAGAGGGCCCCTGGGAGTGCCACTGTCCCTGGGGGCGCCAACACCCCTGGCAGGGTCTCTGGCGGGGCCGCTGTCCTTGGAAGAACCCCTGGGGGCGCTGCCGCCCATGGGAGAGCCTCTGGGGGCGCGAGCGCCCCTGGAAGCACCAGCATCCTTGGGGCTGTGCCAGCTCCCCTGTGAGGGCCTCTGGGGGTGCTGCCATCCCTGGGAGGGCCGTTGGGGGCCCTGCTGTCCCATGGAGGGCACCTGGGAGAGCCGTCGTCCCTGGGAGCGTTGCTGTCCCTGGGGGCACCAGCACTCCTGGCATGGTTTCTGGGGGTGCCAGCGCCCCAGGCAGGGCCCTTGGGGGCGCCGCCATCCCTAGGAGGGCCGCTGGGGTGCCACTGTCCCTGGGGGAATTCTGAGTTGGAATCAATCACCCAATATCCCAATGAAATAATAGATTCAGTCAACGAGGAAGTCTGTGGAACCAATTGTGCTCGTTAATGGAGGGACCACTGATACATAAAACAACAAGGAATTCTAATCTCTATTTTATTATAGGTTAGATTTCCTTCTTTTATGTATATATTATGTTAGAATTTCTTGCTGTAATGTATGACTTCAACTCCTCAGGAGCCACTCTGGACACATGGGGCAGGCGCTACACCATTACTGGAGCTGATCGCTATGTCTTGAACTTTGTTCGTCAACATGAAGAGAAGGTTTCACCACAGTTGCTCTCATCTCTAGTTAAATTTTTTGGTCAGGAAGAAGCAAGAAAGGAAAAAACCGATGAACAGAACTAAGTGTACTGTTAGCCAACTCAACATTTTATGAGTCATCTTACATTGCCAATAACAAGCTTTACTTTATATTGCATCTATAATAAGTTAACTAGGATGAAGTTATCCAGTATTTAACTAATCTAAAAGAACATGAAGCTAGAAAACAAAGGAAGACAATGAGGGGTTCAGTTGATAGTGTGACAGATGACTCCGTACAACATGAAGATTTTGAAAGCCTCACCGAGACAACAGTAGAGATATTTTTTGAGCGACTGTACACTCGCTCCAGAAAGTAAATTTATGGAGAGCTTTGATGAATTTCACAATGAACACTGGGACTCCTGTTGTCTGGGAACGGTTGTCAAAATCCTTCATCCATTGTCAGATTATCTTACACAAAATCGTTATGATACTTGTTGGAGAGAATGTACATTGATTCCTTGAAAGTCTCTTGTCTATTTTTATGAGAAATGTGAAGTTTTTTTCTCTCCAGTAACACAAGTGAATATCTCTGTATTTTGTAGTGCAAATGCTTCTCAGTTAATTCAATTCAAGGAAGTGTTTACAGCTTGCAATGAATATGGCTTGACAAAACATTTAATATCTGTTTATTTCCATAAATATTAGACACAACTGCCACTTGCAAAGGTCCAAATTATACTGATAAGTGAAATTTTAACTCGCCAATGATGAGGGAATACACTTGACTTTTATTATAGTTCAGATTTTCTCTATTGTATTGCAGATAAAGTTTACAAGTCAATACTCTTCCTTAGACAATGTAGATTTATTTATATTTTATCTTTAGATGATTCTTCTTCTTTCATTATGTTTGTAAGGATTAACTTGTGGCAAAACGTATGTTACCAATTCTACAGTGTTTGTTACCATGACTGCTGTAAACCCGTGTGTGATAAACAGCCGTTTTCTAAGTCGTTCGGGAGCTAACTACTGCACGTGACTGGGGTTATTAAAAATATGTTTCCGAGGCCTCTCACACCAGTCGTACCGATCATTGATGTGTGATAGGCCTTGGAAACATGTTTAATAACCCCAGTCACGTGCAGTAGTTAGCTCCCGAACGACTTAGAAAACGGCTGTTTATCACACACGGGTTTACAGCAGTCAGGTAACAAACACTGTAGAATTGGTAACATAAGTTTCCCAGACATTATCCTATGATGATATGTAACCCATAAAGATATGATCAGAACATAAATTCCCTGTTTATGATTGAGAACCAAAGTATTATTAGGGATGGTTTAGCAAGTTAAAAGTTGATTACTGTAGAAGCCTAATTATTGTACATCATAGATTATAAGATAATTTACAGTTCGTGTATAATGACTTTATGCCGACATATAAAATACATTATGAGAGACCACTTGAATGTCAACAAACTGTACAAAGGCAACACCCTCAAAGACAAAAGTGTATTAAACCTTTTGAACTATACAATGTGTGATTTTTTTGTGACACTTCCCTAAACAGTAATGAAAATTGAACAAAAGGCATCTGCCATTGTGTCATGATATTCTCTTTATTATGGGCACTTGGTAATGATACAGTATTACTATAATTTATATATAATATATATATAGTTGTGTGTGTGTATATATAACAATCATTAATACATACTGAATCAGACTATAATACAATGTGTTGGTTACCTGAACTGGCTGCGTAACAAACACCACTCGGCTGGAAATAAACTGAACTTTCCTTGTAATGTAACGTAACATAACAATCGTGATGACTCATTACCAATTATTTACATACAACTAATGTTATAATACCCTAGGGAAAAATGAATTAAAAAGCAAAAGTTTCATGACAAGTTTTCCTAAATAAATAAATATTTTCACAAAATATTAGAAAAACACACTAAAACTCCAAACTAAAACTGTGTCTGTTATACTGGCCCACAGCCTTAGGCCTTGCATGAAGTTATATACATTATATATCACTCAAGTTGTAATCAAAGAGTACGGTATGTGGTAGTCTTGGGGTCGGTGATTAAATTTATGAAACTGCTTTCTAAACGCCATCACCACTTGTGGGTATTAACACGTACTGATCTCCAGAAAGGTAATAACAATGCCTCTAATTGCAGGTGGGAACAGTTAACTTGTAGAGTTGAACAGTAAATGGTGACAATATTTAAGAGGCAGTTTCCTAACACTTAACACCATAGCCCATAAACAGGTAGAAACATGCAGGAACCAAGGCAATTACTGTACTGGCTACAGATATGAATACAGCCCAGTAATATAGCCATAACCAAACATGGCTCCTATGTTACAGCATTTCGGTTCCACAATTCAAATCCAAAGGCAAATTCCTATCAGTTGACCAAATTTTAAAATAATACTAATAAAAAAAGCAGTTTCATTGTATACATTTGCGGGTAACAGAAGCTTATTAAATTGCAACAATGGAAATTTGTTCTACGGAGAAATTAAATACAACACGACAAATATATAACACATACTAGGTAACAGAGTGACATATCTGTTAGTTGTACAGTCTTGCATTTGTTTGCGTATACAAGTTAGAAGAAAAATTTATAATAGCAATTACTATCAACATAAAACTGTTCAATTCTCTCAATATTATATAAAGAACTGTAAACAATGTGTACCCAAAAAATATTCTTCATGTCTGGGATGCAAGTTCTATAATAGTGTGTGTGTGTGTGTGTGTGTGTGTGTGTGTGTCCAATTACAGTGTTGGGGGGTAAGTGTTGTGCGTCTGTGTAAACATAACCATAACTCTTAATTTTCCTTTTCTTTACTGAATATCGCAAATGATCACTGAACAACTTACAGTCCCTCAGTCCCACACTAGCCAAACCAACACCCACTATTCTTTTGACACACATTGCTAAGGATGCTGTCAATTTAGAGAATTTCTGAGAGTTTTGGTAAATAAATGCAGTTCTTCACAATATTGCTTTGATAAAATTACAGTAATGCCAAATCTGCCTGTTTCATCTACTCAAACTCCATCTCTAAATAAGTGAAAGGAAAATCAGATTTCTGCCACCACATCATAACTTTAAATCAATCTATGACAGAATACACCACCTACTTCACCTCCTAAAGTGAACACAATACTGTACACCCACTCAACTTATATATCACCACTTAACTCTTTGTCACTGTCCAGTGTAAATCTATTCACCTGCAAGATTTTCAAGCAAATATTTTCATCTTACTCGGTGAACTTGTTACGTTTAAAGATATAAGCACTTGGTACACAAAAATGGGAAAGGCTCTTCATGTAATACTATCGATATAAGAAAAAGGCATTTGTGACGAAACAATCTGTAAGTTCACATGTTGAGAATTTCAATGTAAACTGGATTCAACAAACAACTCCATTGAACCAATTTGTCATAAGTTAGGAATTCTAATATATATATATATATATATATATATATATATATATATATATATATATATATATATATATATATATATATATATATATATATATATATATATATATATATATATATATATATATATATAATATATATATATATATTGGTGAAAAAATCTCAACAAAGCTGCAGCCTAAGAAGTAGAGCAAAGTGCAATTCTGTACTTTACTGCTGTTCCTGATAATAATGAGGCTTTTTTTTTCACCGAATTAAGACTTTACCCCCTTCCAATATGTACACTACAAATTTATAATCTTGACCATATACAATGCTATACACTAGAGAAATACTGTACATAAGATTGAGAAAAAAAAAAAAAAATCCTCAACATGCAGTAGAGGATATTATCGTTGGTCCATAGCACATTAATATTCTTGTAATCCCAATAACTTAAGACCACAGAAAGACTAACACCCACAGGACTGTAAATCTTGACCAGTTCATGCCAAGGGATGATTCACATACCCAAATGTTTGTACAGATAGAAATAACATTTACTGTACTAATGGCCATGAAATTACTAATCATTATCCATATAACTGAACCATATTGTGTTTTGATGGTCAACATATAATTACAATGGTAAACTCATTGACGTACATTTAAGGATGTTTTTCCAGGTTTCTCTTGATACTGTACTGTACTGTGCCCCTCTTGTCATCTCCCCACCTACTAAAATTTACTCCGGCATAAAAAAATATAAAAATGAATTCCTTAAAAGATACTAAAAAATAATGTGCGTCTCTAAACACCTTTATATTCTAGTGTGCAAGTGAGGGATAATGTCATATATGGTGATATAATAATGATAAGCAATGAAAAAACAACTAAGAAAAGACTAGAACGAGAATTCAACGTTTCCTCTAGAAAGATTTTTTTTTTACCTTTCCCACAAAACAGGAAATTAGCCAAGAACACGACTGTGGTAAGAGATCGTTAATGTCAAACTCCACGCAGCAGTCAGCCCACATGCCCTCACAATACTGCGTTATAACGGCTAGAACAAGTTAATAAAAACAAGGTAGCCGGTTGAATCCCCAGCTTCAACTATTAATCAGTTAATAACATTATGAACACTCCACTCATACTAAAAGATTTTTCTTCAAGAGAATTTTTTTAAAAGAAATTAGGACCCAACAACCTCAATATATATATACTGTACAGTGAAGCCTTTATATAACACACTTCTATTTCCATATCAACTGTTAGATGGGGGGTTATACAACCAACAGACCATCGATATAACTGACTTCCATCTGTATATAGTTTGTTAGATGGGGGTTTCACATCTAATGGTCCCTCGATATAACGTACTTTTATCTCCATATAGTCCATTATATAGAGGTTTCACTGTATATATAAATAAATATATAAAGCACATCTTGAGTACTGTAATGTGTCTTGGTAAATCACACCAAACAGAAAACGTATCTTAAGTTTCTAGTTCAAAATTAATGATTCACTTTACGTTAGGTATGAATTGAAGAAAGACCAACATAAAATGAAAGAAAAACAGAAAAATTAAAGAAAAAAAAAAGATTCACATTTTGTACAGTAAGTACTCCAAAAAAATACACAGCCTACAGCCTAAACACAGCTCCAAACATTACTGCATTATGTTAGAGTGTAACATAATGCAGTTAGACCAAAGTTTTTACAATTAGACTGTCTCAATGTGAGAGAGAAAGAAAGAAATGGAGAGTGTTCATAAAGAAACAATTTATGTCCTTTTTGGCTTAACAAAAAGTTACCAACTAAACATTCTAATTCCTCCAGTACTAATAGCACAGTACTGTACATTGTATATTTAAAGGAACAAAGTTATTTTACATAAAACAAAACCTCAATAAGAAATCAGTTAGGTATATATATCAAGAGGGTCAGAGACACTCCAAACATTCTACACTCGAGGGCGTAACGTAGCAGGACGGTCAGAAGGTATACCAACTACGCGTTAATGTTGCTACCTAGCCTATACAAATTCTTGGCTCTAAAAAGTGAATGAACAGAGGTCAATTGCATATATAAAACTTCATAAACATTGTTAATGCACTTTAAGGACTGTGTGATGGCTACTGTTGTCCTTCTCAATACAAAATTCCTTGAATGACAATTTTTTTTTTTTAAGAAATGAGAAATAATAAAAGAAGCCAGATTCTAGACCGAGGTTCTCCATAAAATACAAAGACAGTTTATACTTTACATTAGTGAAGAGAGATTGTCACTTTACTTACTAATGGTATTGCTGAAGACACTATCTTTAAACAGAGGCTCTAAGCCGTGCCATCTTCGTATTGGTTGCTATTTACTACAAATTACTAACAATTTTGTGAAAATATAGTCAATATTTTGATGTGATATCTTGTATATTAAAAATAGATATTCATACAAGCAAATTGGCTTTTTGGAGAGTGGCACTTATTGAACTGAGAATTAGACATATATCTAGTTATAATCAGCAGTTTCTTTATGAACCAAAATATATGTGGTTGTCAATCTAGATGATGAATTTACAATAAGGTAACACAAGGATTTGCACTCGTTTTATACCCGTGCTGCCACTTACATAATAACTGAGAATTGAGCTCTTACGCGTTAGACTCGGCTCAACTCGCATCACAGAAAATGCGAGTTGAATGTGACGACTCGCGTTCTCAGAGGAGTTAATGTAGTCACCACTTTACTTTTATGAATTAACATTTGCTTCCATTCTCTCGCAGTTTTGTACTCTTCATTATCAAGGACAAACTATTAAGATTTAAGCGGCCTCACAGTTTCACACACGAGGAAACAACTAGTAGAGTTAAGGTAGAAGCCGGAGTCCTAAATAATCAAGATTCTGAAATATTTAGTAAAAGAATGGAAGTGGTGTTGCATCTGGCTTCACGCCATTGCATGTACTATTCTAACGATAAAAATAACTCAACAGAAGAGATACACAGTATGTGATGAAAGACTCGAGCCCATTGTGGTTTACCTTGATGCATTTTCAAAAGCATTCACTGCTAGAGTCCAACAGATGCCAACTGACCTGGGATAAGACGACTTAATGATGCCGACGACGACGGAAAAACTCTTATTTCAGAAACCACGAGACACAATTTAAGTTTTCAAAAATAATTAGTATTAAACAGCAAATGTAATACAACACAACACTCATGTGGGTAACTTACCAAGATAAAAAAACCTGTGTAAACACTTAAATGTTCATTTGGCAAACCCAGATATTTCTGGAAACTATATGATTGCTTTGGCTATCATTGTTAATTTTCTTTCCCATAATTTTTTTATATATATGTGGAAGAACCCTCAAGATGTACACCACAGGCTGAACAATCCTGAGCCTCTCTCTCATTTATTAGTGTACACTGAGGGCACTGTCGGCCCCCCGAGATGAGAGGCCTTGCTTCCGGGCCTGGCATGCGCGACTTTCCACACATGTCACAGGCAGTGCGATTCTTGTCATTTAGGAAGGTACAGGTGGTGCAAGACCATGGTGTGTGGAATAAGTTGTCTTTAGGAGGTAGTATTTCTCTAGGTTGAGAAGTGGTGGTAGTGACGCTAGTTGGTTGAAGGGTAGGGGCTGTGGTTGTAGAGTGCGAGGTCTCTGAGGGCAGCTCTTGTCTGGAGTGCGAGCCCTTACTGCTCATACTCATGCTCCTCGGAGACGACGAACTGCTCACGTTGTTTTTGTTACCGACGTCCAGTCTATTGTCGGTTCTTAATAGATTGCTGGTCTTCTTCAACGTGGGTTTTCTGTCCTCGTAGTCGTCACTGTCCTGGGGAGCTGTCTCGAAGCCTGCAGATATATTGTCATAAAGGCTATTCCTTTTGGTAAGGTTTGGGAAGACATCGAGACCAGCACCGTGAGATATCGAATGAGAACTTTTACTGGAACTGGAAGGTCTCTCTACTCTTTCTCGGGTTTCATTAAGAGCTAAAGCCTGCAGAGCTTGGTTGATGGATAATGGCTTACTCTTTGTCACATCTTTCTTGTTGTTTAAGTTGTTGTTCTTACCTTGAATTAGAGCATCTGAGTAAAGGTTTTGTCGTGTTATCTGGTGAAGAATGTCCCCACGATCACCAATGTCTTTATTGTATCCCCTCTTTTCCAAACCCCGATACACAAAGTCCCACGTTTCCCACGAGCTGGCACCCTGATCGTTGGGTGTGCCGAAATTAGCCGAGTTCCGGTTGGGATCTTTCACAATAGAAAGAGTAGCTTCCAAATGCTCATCTAAGGTGCCTGCCTGGAACACTTCTGGGGGGGGAGGGGGAGGCGGGCAGGACTCAGAATTTTCCAAAGGAGGTAGAACACGACTGCTGGCTCCGGGAGGCTTAGAACTTCGTTTATGTGGCAACACCTGAAATGAAATGAAATGACCTTGAATGAGGATTTTGATAAGTGGCCAGACATAGTGATGATGACCCTGATTAATTCACTTTCTGGGTTAATTGAGGAAGAAAACTCCTCGTATCCATCAGAGAGGTCAGTTACTGTATTACCACCAATACAAAACAAACATTTAAACCTTAGGTAATAGCTGCGAAGTTCTCAGGGATGGCAGAGCTTCATGGGAGGAGTCTAAGTCTATTAGTTTGGCAGTAGGAACCTGGCCAGCGGACATCCCAACCCCCAAGCTGCTTACACTTTTGGCTGAAAAGGAAAATCCACAGTAGAGTAAAGGAACTATTTATGTGTCTATTACTCACACTGCCTATGAGTCCTCTGGTGGTCAATCAACCACAATATCATCAACATGTGCTTCTGTATTCCTCTATCTCTTTCCCTTCCCTCAACCTAATTTACAACCATTTCTGTTAATTATCTTTTTACTGTACATACTATCCACTAGTGGCAACGGTAAATATTGTACTGGTAAGAAGTACTGGTGGTGGGTAGTGGTTAAAACAAAGAAATACTGTGGTTTGTATGATAATGAAGCAAAACAAGTGAGAGTGAGGCCCTACGGCTGGAGGCTCACTCAGACCAGTGTGGATACAACACTGAAGACACAACTTTATGGTGTAAAGACAAAGTAATTTAGGCATCTCTTAACTACTATGGTATTACAGTGGAGTGGACTTTGTGGATCAAATAAGGTGAAAAATGGAAAACCATAGGTGGTGAGTAATTAGTGTTAGAAAAGCAATAAAAAATTTTGAGTTGTCATTTGGACAAGTAATCATACAGATATCAAATCTTGGACAACAGATCCTTAATGAGCCTTTTCAGGAGTACTGTACGTTAGGGTGGTACTGTACTGCAGGCAGTTCCTGACCACAGGAAATCATTCCCTAATGCCATCAAGTAGACCTTACTGGGTGACAAAGAGTGAGACTGGTCCTCATGCGACCCCTGCCTTGAGCAGCTAATACCCAGGCTTGGGGGCTAGGAAATGATGTGTTATGAACATTAAGCATACCGTAGGCATAATATTGTTAAATTTCATTTGACTTGAGCAACCTCTAATTATTAAGATATTTAAAAAATATTTTACAGGCAATGTTTCTACCCCAAATGAAAACTTTTGCCAGGGTCTGTGACAAAAAAATGGCAAATTTTGTTTTTTGCCCCAAAATAAGGACCGCCCTACGTACGTACATATGTTGAGACTTTAAACAAAATCAGTGAGATCAAGATTATGGCCATAATGGTAAGCCTTACACCTTTTCTCTCAGACTTGAAATTTAATGTGTCTGTTATCGCCGCTGGCTTCAGCTACAGTGCTGGCCTGTGATGCCATTAAATCTTTCGACCTGTGACCTCGCCAGATGTAGAAGTGTTTACAAACAAGTCCTGGTTTTGCCGAGTGGACGGTCTTCGGCTGGTGGCGGGGATGCCCGTCCCGCCATGAGGGAGATCGCCCTCTCTAGTGATGCTGTGAAGACCAGCCCTCTGTTCGCACTGGTGAACACCGACTCACAATCCTGTCCTAGTTTTGTGCTGGGACAATTTATGCAGTACAGTATTGTTGTTTCTTGGAACACCATACTGATCTGCATTGACCAGCACTTGCAAGTACAGCCTAAGTGATGACATACCCCTCAGTACAGTCATCCCTTGGTAATAGCCCACTTGGTTATCGCGATTTTTGTTATAACGCCTCCATCAAAATCTGCACACCTGCTGTTATAGCGCATTTTTCAAGCCGAGAATTTTGTTATCCCGCAGTTGCCTCCAGGTGTTTTAACCCATTTGCTTCACCTACATCTATTGAGGATAAAATCTTTTACCTACAAATTGACAATAACACATTGGCTGTAATCAGACATATCTAAGTTGCCTCAACAATTGCAACCCCAGTTGCAATTTCAAATTCTGTCATTACTAAGGAATAACGAAGTCTCGGGTGCACTTTAAGATTGACAGAAAACGGAAGACTCAGGCGTCCTGAAGCAATGAGCAGACAGACTCCTCAGACGGGGGACTCAAATAAAGAAAGCATAGCTTCATGTTTTGTGAACTACAGTATTGAGCATACCCTTTTCATAACTTTGTAATGCACCTAGCCATGCCTATGTGTTTTTCTGATACTTACCATAGCATTATCTATATATTTAGTGGGTCTAAATCAGTGGTGTCAAACTCAATACTTTTCGAGGGCCAATTCTTACTGTAGTTACCCTCTTCAGGGCCAACACAAGTGCTATATCACATATTTGCAGGATTGAAGTTTACAGCTTCACACATTGCCTTACCAGGAATACCTCACTTGGGTTTGTCTGATCTTAAGTATGTAAAATTCATTTTACTAAATAAACATGATTATATCTATTTCTTTCATAATTTCACGGGCTGATAAATTTTACTGTCATCCCGCGGGCCACACCTGACCACTAATCACTCGGCAACTATGGGTCTCTGAGGTGCGAGTGTGGTGCCTTGTGTTATTCTGGAAGTACTTAATTAGTTAAACCCTTAAATTCCAATACTGTGAGAAAAGTAGCATGAAAACATAAAAAAAATTTTAAACAATGTTTTTTCTTAACCAATGATATTTGCTAACCCTGTGAAAACTATTCAAGACCATTAACACAGACCCTAGCATATAAGGAACTTTTTGGTATAAAGTAAAACACCAATAAAACAGCTGCCACATCTAAAAAGTAGAGGAGAAATAAGCCAACCTGTATCGGGTGTGTCAGCACTACGTGAGTATGAGAGTGGTGGTGCAGGCTGTGGGCCAGGAGACTGAGATGCTGCCACAGAAGTGTGAGGTGAACCCACTGTAGAGGTGGAGTGTTGAGGAGTTTGGTTACTGGGGTGATGGTGAAGATGGTGCATGTGATGATGGTGATGATGGTAGCCTCCTCGCTGCTCTCCCACGTTACTGGCGCCACCGCTCATCCCAATTCCGTTTGTGCGCTGTTGTTGTTGTTGTTGTTGCTGGTCGAGGGCATTCCGCTGATCTCCAACAGACTTCTCTTGGACTGAATGAAGGGTAGATGTTGGCTGGAGTGCAGAGGGTATGGTGGCAGGAGAAGTGGATGTGGCTCCTGTGGATGACTGACGGACAGGCAGCGGAGGTCCTGCTGATGATGGTGTCTACAAAAGAGCAATTCATTCAATTTACCTAAAACAAGTGTGACACATTCATCCATCTCTAAATCTATCGGTACAGTATTTTGTAACTGCAGTAACCAATCGCCTGTAACCAATGTGGTACAGTACTTCTTGTTACCAGCAATATACAGGCAGTCCCCGACTTACGATGGGGTTAGGGACCTAAATCCAGGTCGTAAGTCAAAAATGCGAAAATAATACATAGAAAATCTAAAATGGGTGTCTCTTTTTCTTCTCAGCACCACAGAAATCTAACTTTTAAGCTTGCCAGGAATTTTAAAGGGAATTACAAATGAAAATTTTGTCAGTACAAAGCACAATCACTAACGTCGGGACTCGAAAATACGTAATTTGAAAAATTTTTGGTACGACCGAGGCGGTCGTATGTCCGGGTGGTCGTAAGTCGCGTATGTCGTAGGTTGAGGAGGACCTGTATTCACAATACTAGAAGGGTGATCCTTAGAAAACAACAAAACTGACAATAAGCTCATTATTATCATAAATATTTGTCAATAAAACCTGTATATGCAGTGTGTGTGTGTGTGTGTGTGTGTGTGTGTGTGTGTGTGTGTGTGTGTGTGTGTGTGTGTGTGTGTGTGTGTGTGTAGTGTGTGTGTGTGTGTGTGTGTGTGTGTGTAGGTGGAGGAGTGTGTGTGTGTGTGTGTGTGTGTGTGTGTAGTGTGTGTGTGTGTGTGTGTGTGTGTGTGAGTAGTGTGTGAGTGTGTGTGTGTGTGTGTGTGTGTGTGTGTGTGTGTGTGTGTGTGTGTGTGAGTAGTGTGTGTGTGTGTGTGAGTAGTGTGTGTGTGTGTGTGTGTGTGTGTGTGTGTGTGTGTGTGAGTGTGTGTGTGTGTGTGTGTGTGTGCATAAATGTGTGTGACTGTCTTCCCAACCCCAAAAAATAATAAAATCTTAACTGTATTCCCTCACAAAGTGTTAAGTTGTTGAGTGGAATACTTTTTGTCATAACAGAAAGCAGATCAAGAACACACCTGTCTACGACTTGATTCTTGTTGCATCTGTGGCTGTAGATTCTGTCTGAGGGTGAACAGCAGATGACGAACTGTTACATCAATACCCCCAACGTGCAACTGTCGAAACTGTAAAATCTGTCGCCATGTCAGGCCAAACTCACGGACTCCTTCACTGATTTTCTTTAGTACCTGAGGAAAGAAGATGTATCAATTTTAAGAAAGAAAGAAAGAAAGAAAAACATACCAGGAACATTCAGATGAAAATGAATGAAAGAATATCCTGTTGTTATATGCATACAGGCCCCTTTGTTATGCTGGCTTCACAACACTCGCCTGGATACACACTTGCACAATTTACTTTTTACATTTCTCAAATACATTTATGCCAGATTAAGGCTTACTCATAAAACAGGTGTACTGTATATGAGGAGCTCTGGGCCATACCCTGCTAAGAGCATACATCGCTGAGGCGTGTTATGTATTGCATTGTATTCCTCAACCTCTCTGTCCGCTGGGTAAGTCAGAGAGCTAATTGAGAACCTGTACATGTGGGTGAGAGTCCTCTGAAAAGATTATTGTATGTCACACATTCCTACCTGAGCATTTTCCTCCATTTTCTATTTTGGCACTCATCAGATTATGGCCCGGAGCTCATCAAATATACGTTATGCTAAAACATCTTGCAGGCCAGAATGCACCTACAGCATTTTGTACGTAAACACATCTGTTCTATTCAACCAGCTTGGGATTTCCTTTTGGCCACTGATAATGTCTCCTCCCTCCTCCCCTAAACATGCTTTAAGATTTTCTACAAGTAAAGAAGCCCTGAAGAAGCCTGAGGTGATAACAGGAGAAACAGTGATCAAGTCTCTGGATAATGGTGTACCAGCTGCAGGGTTTACCAAGTGAGTGATTTGAACATAGTACCTGTATGTGTTAACTGAAGGTGTGTAGACAATGTTGTTATGCACGTTAGTTAGTTAGTTGTGTGGATTGACTATACTGTACCAAAATCAATTGTTGATACTACTGGTAATCTCTGCTATTATTTGAGAAAAAGTACTCAGTATATTGCTGAGTACAGTATACCCATATATAATATTCATTCTAAAATAGACAATGGTTGACTGTATTGGTGACATATGGCAACTGATCTTATGGAGAAAAGTAGAAAACTTATAAGTATGTCGCAAGATCTCAGTCCTGACAGTTGTATTGTACAATATAGAAATATATCCATACTAAATCAGGCAATATTATGGGTAAGTTTTATCTTCTAACCTGACACTCGCAGTAAGCAATCAAGCAGTCAAGAGCGAGCCGTGAGATGAGGTCTGGGTCAAGCACCCCTTCCAGCAGCAGACAAGCCAGGTCTCCACAGTCAGATGAGCCGGCAGGAGGGCTGGACCGAGGAACATAACCCATCAACGAGAGGACAGACTCGGCACCACCCAAATGGCGAGCCACTTGATGTATCCAAAAGCCACTGTATAGCTGCAGACAGAACCATAACAAAGATTTTAACATTATGGTATATATACTGTACAGGTACTGGACTGTGTTCTAAGAGCAATGTATTTCTTACAATAAAGGCAACAGGGACCATTTACCTGAGACTAAAAAGGTTTAGCATTAATTTGTATTATATTTACAAGTTGTGTGTACAGTACAGTACTTTTTATGCACATTTATGTTGTTCTTGTCATCTCTTCATTTCAGTTACTTTCATTACAAGATGTTACTAATATCTTTTAGCCTTTGTAAGTTATCTCACTTCAATGAAATATTTTCATTAAACTAACCTTCACTTCTCTGAATTCTTTTCTCCAAGGTTGTGCGATGAGGTTAGCTGCATACTGGGCCAAGGAATCAAATGCACATGCTGCACTATAAGCACTAAATTCATTGATGGTGTTTATGCTGGTCTCCAGAACATCAGATATTTGGTGGAACATGAATTTGTGGGAATGAGGGGTGATGGCCAGGTATTCCATTATTACCCCTGCAGCATAAGGAAAAACATTTCAAATTACAAATTACCTTGAATGAAGGGGTAAACACACAGCATTTAAGTACATCACATAATATTACAGTCATCTTACTTCAGCGTTAAGAACCGTAAATCAATTACTCACGTTCCAACTTTTCTCGTTGCTCAAGTTTGTGAGGGGAATCTTCTGTTTCAATATAGCCCAGGTGTAGTGTGTTCATCTCCTCCATCAGCTCTTCATCCATGGACATCACTGGACCCGAGATCATTGCTGCAGCGGCAGTCTGTCCACCAGACTGCTGAGGCGGCAACATCCCGGGGGGCGGACCTCCGGGCATGCCCGAGGGCATCCCGTAGACTATACTGGATGGGTGTTGGTGTGGAGGGTGGGAGTGGGCATGAGTGTGTGGCAGCTGAGGGCCAAGGTAAGGGTTGACATAAATGGAGGTTTGTGGAGGATACACTGGTGACGGCTGTGACAACATAGGTGATGGGTGGGTCAGCATGGCAGAATTTCCAGAACCTATCGGCAAAGACACATTTGCAGCGGCGGCGGCAGCAGCTGCTGCAGAAGTTGAGTGGGACTGGTGAGTGGAGTGAGGTTGGTGAGTTGAGTGGGGAGGGTGGGGTATGTGAGTTTGGGGGAAAGCATGCATAGTATAATTATGGGCCATTGGAGGGGGGAGGATGGGTGAAGAAAACAGGGGGGAGTGAACAGTGGGGGGATGGGGACCCCCCATGTGGGGAGGCATTGCCATGTGGTACATCGTCATGTGGTCACGCACTTAGGACCATCTGAAAGAAGAGAACACTTGTGAAGGGAGAGTACTGTACTGTAAGTGTATACAGTGCAGTACTGTACTGTAAGTGAATACAGTGCAGTACTTTAAATAATTAAGCAACACACTACAACAAGAGAACAAATGTTATAATCTTGCTTTGAATTCAGAGGCTTTTGGCCTGGTCTTGTGGCAGCTTGACTATTTATTTTATATTACAGGTGTATTCAATATTTCTTATATCTAGTATTTGTCAACTGTAAGTGGTTTAATCAGGATATATAACTTAAAAATGATAGATAGTTTTTGGTTTATTAATTCTGTTGTCCTTTACTCATTGTTTTATTTACAGTGCGAGGAACAGGAGATGAAACCAAACATTACCAAGACTTAAAGTACAGCACTGTATTGAAGATTACTGAAGCAAAATATCTTAGGTGGGAAGCAGTGGTGTTGACAAATGATGATAATAATAATGTGAAGACAACACAGGCAGCATAAACTTTTGCCTCTGGTGACTGGAGAGTTCCCACAACCATATCAGCAGGGCTGGCGGGATTTCCGACTCTTGTTAACCGAACACGCTGATTGGTTCAACTGCTCGCGTTGTGATTGGTTGCGAGAACATGACGTAATATTACTATTTCCTATAATATAATGTGTGGTGAGGGGTAACGAAGACCCCAGATACAGTAATTATATTAGAGTTGTCCTCATACTCAGTGAATTTCATTGTTCCTGTCTTTAGTTTTATAAATTTCTGAATAATAAACACTGCATTATACACCATTCACAGTGTTATATGAGATCACATTAGATTTGTATTTTATCAATTGTAATTTGTATTACTTTTCGATAATACTGAACACAAAAATAACCAAAACATTTCAACAATTTCATTTTGACAATACATAAAAAAATACAAATATATAAACATCTAGAAGCATTACTAAGCACCAGAAATATATACATGACCTTATTTTACACATTGTAACATGGTATCGATATCGCTTCGTGTGTGACTCAGCAGGATATAATTCTGCTAAAATATCGCTAAAATGTAGGTAAGGTAATTAAATACATCTACAATTTATTTCTGTGTATTCTATATGGTGTTATAGCCATGAACAAGTGTATTTCCTAAAGTCGGTAATTTACCGACAGTCGGAGCAGTGACGTCACGGCTTACCGACTACGTCATTAATTTACTGATTAAGAGACGAAGTACCGGATTTGAACCAATCAGCGTGTTCGATAAACAAGAGTCGGAAATTCCTACAGCCCTGCATATCAGTATTATTTTCATATTGTTGTTAGGTTAAGCTTTGGGGGGCAAAATTCATTGGGCTGGAACACATCTCAGTTGTTATGACAGAATGTAGAGGGAAAATGAGTTTTGTTTAGAGAGAATATAGCGGATAAACACTTTGAGGAACACACATCACTAGTCAAGCAAGACCTTTCTGTAATACATTACTTTACTTGAGTAATTATTGCACTGAATGGTCCAGAATGCTGGGAATTCTGCTATAATGAAGGTTTTGTCACTGATCTGCCTCTAAGTACAATATGATCATGCATCCCGAGGAGTCCTTGGTTGAATCAACGGTACTACTATAGCGTGTGGTTTACAAAGACATCTTTAGTCTAACCTAACCTAATCCAACCAAACCTAACCAACCCTAACCTAATGTAATGAAAAATAACCTAACCTCATCTATAAATACTAAAACACTAAAAATATTAAATCACCTGATGTAGCCTACATGTTGAACCAATGTGAACTCAAATGATGATGTAGAGATGAAAAAATATTTATTTATTTATCGTAACATAACTTGGAAAGTTCGCTGGGAAGCGTTCAGTTGCTAAGCGCTAGGATCATGCAATGGGAATCATGTCAACAGTTTTACTTAAGGAAAAACAAAAGTCGAAAAATTGCATTTCCTCCAACCCTTTCTGGGTACCTGAGAGGTTAGTTACAAGTTTTCTGGTATGATATTACTTCAGGACACAGCGTGCCCCAAGGTTATAAACTACTGAAACATTTACATCTCCCTATTCTGAGCATTTTGATCCCCATATATATCTGGCAGAAATGGATAATAGCGACACAATTGAATTTAATTGATTTTACGTGCTTTTCAGTCTTCATCTATGTGAGGAGATGTTATTGTCGTGAAAGCGAGCTAATTATGAGCGTATTTACATCACGCATTCGTGACGTCTTCCAGTCGCGACCAATGATGTATCGATCTCAACACGCAAATTTTTTTCGATCAATCAAATTTGAATTTTTTCAAAGGGAGGAGCTAAGGTATGGATTTGAAGGATTTCAATTTCAATTACCAGTGTGACAATGGCCGTGGCAGAGGTTGGGTGTGAATCGGGCTCCTACGATTATTTTAAATTTATTGCGGAGTTTTACGAGAAAGACGATCAAGCTATCCAATTCCTACGCAATCCCGGTGTTCTCCCTACGTCTGTTGAGTGCTAGCAGTGTAAGTTTAGAAAGAACAAGCATCAGAGGTTGACCCTGAACCTATCCCTGGTCTTTCCACTTCTAACTAGGGTAATGTACTTTCGGACTTGGCGCGCCCCAAAGTTTAAAACTACTGAAACATTTAGATCTCATTATTTTAAGTCTTTTGATCCCTATTTACACTGTATTAGTTGGAAATGTATAGGAATAGGTTAGGTTAGTTTAAGTGCAAAATAATTTGTTTTAGTTAGTTTATTCACTAAATGATTTTATAACATTGAATACAAATCAAATGAAAGATTAAGAAAATAAAGGCTTTGAATTTACTTACAAAGCTATAATTTAGGACATAAATCTTGAAGAATTATAACAGACATTGTTCATGTTCTGTTCTGTTAGTGTTCTCTGGACCATAACTCATTAACAATAATTTTTCAGTAGTTCAGACAACTTTTGTACCCCAAAATCTATTATCAGCATTCGAAAAAAGACGTCTAATTTTAAGATAATTTTCATCTATTACATTACCGTCGCAAACGTATAATAACGGAGATAGCGCACGACAGATATTTCTCTATTTTTTTCCATTAATCTTCCGCCATTATCGCCTACCCGACCTCCCTCTCAATCATATGGAGTTGAATACGCGTTTTGTGGAAAAAACGAACAAACTATAGCATATTTTAGATCTCATGGTGTTCTTCCAACCTCAGTAACGTGTCCTAAGTGTAAGAATGAGTGTAAATATTGTCAAGACCAACATAGCTGGCATTGTAGTAAATCCAACGACAAACCAGAACCAGGCCACTAAGGTAAGAAACGTGATTCCAACATATGGTGAGGGTTAGGTTAGGTTAGGTTAGGTCGTCCCAAAAAAGGTTCGGTTTATGTTTTTCTAGTGTTTTTTTTTTGTGTATTATGCATTTGCTTGGCCATGATTTTTGTTGGAAAACGCCCCACACAAAACCCCCGATAACTAAAAAAAAAAAACAGGCAATTTTCGACGGAAATCAAGGTCAAAACCAATCAAAACACACACAAAAAACACTAGAAAAACCATAACTTTTGACTTTGTAACAGTGAGCTACTGCAAATTTACCATTTGTTCTCATCATTCACCATTATATTCCGGGTAACAGCATTAACACTCCATGTGCTTAAGAAGTGTCCACCAAAACCTCCTCACTATTAATATATTCACACCATGATACTTAAACTCTTTAATTACATAAATCTATATAAAAAACTAGGATATAAAGACACCACTAATAACCTAACACTTGACATACATAGTGTGGTGGCTACATGTGTGTGTCTGTCACTCTCACACTTCAACACACTCCTTGTCACTCATTACTCACCACACACAACACACAACAATACAAAAATAACAAACTAATCGAGTGTTTCTCTACATACCAAGAGAATAAAACCCAATTATAGATGACGATGTAAAACAGGAAGTGACAACACACATCATCTCCCCATGAGTCATAACCCTCACATGTCCCTCACTTCACTTCATTACTCACCTCATTACCTTCACCCTATTAATAACACACCAATATTAACCCATGACAGATATAAATTACATCAATAATACCAATATTAGATCGTAGTTTCATCCGGCCTTGAGTTAACTGTTAACCATTTTTATCAACCATCTGTATTTAACTATTAAAACAAAAACTATTAAACCCATACCATTACCTTTAAACTACTAGGTGATTCTAGGTCATCCATACACCTTCTACCTCTTCACCACAGTATTATTAAATGACGTTACGGAAGCTTTTCATCATTCCTAAATTAGTTAATATTACTCACTATCTCCCCACCACCACAACACACACCTTATGACGGGAGGGAGACATAAGAGGATCTAAGGCCTCTATGATAAAGACTTTGATCCTCTATAGTGAGTTGGATCCTATATTGTGTCCTTCTCTTCCTCGTCGTCTATACATTATCTCCCCCACCACCACAACACACACCTTATGACGGGAGAGAGACATAAGAGGATCCGAAACCTCTATAATAAAGACTATGATCCTTTATAGTGAGTTGGATTCTATATCGTGTCCTTCTTTTCCTCGTCGTCTATACATTTTCATTTTCTTTGTGTTGTATTCATAGAAAACGAATAATAATTATCATAATTATTTGGTAGGCTATTTTAAAGGATATATATGTCTAATATAAGCTAGATAGACTTGAGATAGATAAATTGTATTGCAATATATTCAGTAAAATAGTCGTACCAGTTTACTTTTAGTATTTAATTTGAAGGAAAAGCTATATTCAAAATAGTAACCAATAAATTAATTACAAATATTAAGTTATTAGTCAGAGATAATATACATACTTCTACGATATTGAGTTCATTTAGTTATTATCTCTCAAATTATTTCTTTCTATTGAACAACAGCAGAATATATTGCTGTTGGTACTTACATAAGCCAGTTTTCTTGTATTTTTCTTGCACAACTTTATATATTCAATATTTAATGGGTTTATATGAATTATATCTAACATAAGGTCAATTTTACTTCGCTACTGTGCCTTATATAATGTCAAACCTCACTAAACTTTCCATAGGTGAGGTGAGAAGCTTTGAGAATATTGTTTGAGGAGGCACATAGTAGCCCCCCCCCCAATAGAAAAACGTAAAATGTGGAAGTGTTTGACTCATCCTGCCTGATTACGGATAGATAACATAGCTTACAAGTTGATATAGGGACTCATGTACTGTATAACTCAAGTAAGTACTGTATAACTCAAGTACTGTACATATGCACATGATCATTATAGACATGATTCACTTGGTAGTTATATATAATGCATGAAAAATGTTCAAAATATTGTCCATTCTTAGGTCCTTTTTGGATGAGCTTCATGTGATGTGTCAGGGGGACGCCAGGTGGAAGTCGTAGTAAAGTGGTGTGTTGGATATCTCACATTGATCTACGCCGTAAACATAAGTGCATTAGACAATCAGTGATAAGCGAAGGAGCGAAAAAGTTATGATAAAAATATAAAGAAGACATAGGCTACAGTGGCAGTATAGCAGCCACTAAAGTTGTAGACCAACTATAGTCACAGTACAGTCACCTTGTTGATTTAATATTTTTTCATGTCAAGATGGAAATAACGACATGATACCACCCACCTACCAACCCACGCCCCACCTATCCATGCACATCACCTACCAACCCACGCCCCACCTATCCATGCACATCACCTACCCACACACACCAGCTTGGCCTGGACCCAAGAAGAGGGGGGCTGAGGGGCACGTGCCACACCCCAACGACACATGTAAATGTGCCCTTGTGGCCCTGAAACATGCGTCTGTCTACAAGGGCCTGACAGTACCATTGCACAGTCCACGTAATTTAAACGTCCAGTACAACTTCACAATGCCAGAGTGTTGTGACGGCACCGAGTGTGAGCTCAAGTAAGACCAGACCTGACCAACACTGGCGCACGTACAAATACATTCAGGAGCCAGTACATGCCCAGTACTTGCCAAGAGTGTGTAACAGAGACGTAAGCGACCGCCCAAGCTGCAAATAAACTGATTAGTGGCGAAGAGGATAAAGTAAACGTAAATATATAGCAACAAACACACAAACAACCATCACAGATCACTTGATAATAATGGATGAGCCGACTTGCAAGGTCATTCACGATAAGAGTTGATAACAAGATAGGTACTGTATAGGTGCAAACTGAGATAAGACACCCAAGATAGTGTGGGCTTCTGTTAGTTGCTTCTCCTGCTGTTAACCTTCTCTCCTGCAAGTAAGTCACTTTACTCTGTCTACACTAAGCGTCACTATCCCAACACGGTCCCTAGTAGTACCCCCTTCACCGTCCAGGCCACCTTCTTGACGACAAACCTGGCCGAAAGAACACTATCATCTCCTGATATTTGACGATAACGTGAGAGATAACACCCCATGGACGCCATCTTGTGTCACATCTGATGGTTCATTAATGTCGTATATTTTGTCATTTATTGTTGCATCAAGACTGCCCCGCCATTACTGTTAACATGGTAAGGGAGGAGTATTCTGACCAGCCAATCCTCTTCCTTCTCTGTGGCTAACCTTCTCGTCAAACACCTTCAATATTGTTTTATGTTTACTTGAGGACTCACATTACACCACAGATGATTATTTCCTCCAGTAGACGAGGTAACTGCCGCCCCACAACACTTCAGGACACCGTAGACTGATATATTGTTATTTAGTGCAACAAAACATATATTCCCTGGTGTCTCATGATCCACATTACTGCCAAGGTGACGTATGCAACATACCATCACCATCCAAGCGGTAGTTTAAGTGGTACAATATAAAATCACGTATATCATCATAACAATAGTAGACCTTCCAGGATGATCAAGTTACAATGTCATTATACTTCTTAAAGGATGCTTGGCCATACTACTGAGAGATTGATTATATTATGCTATAATTATACTATTATGAGAATGGTGACGTCATACTGAAGTCAAGATTCTTATGTTAAAACACATATATGGTATTTCTCTCTTTGAACACGTATTTATCATTGGTCATTACACCACTTATTGTTTGACTAACCGTTCGGGGGAGTTGGTCTATTCCACCTCCCTTTATTGGCCAAGGTTAGTACAGGAGCGAAAATAAGAGAACTAGTTGCGTTATTTTGTAAGGTCATACTGTACAACACCATTCTCACATCTGTACCGAGGAGGGAATTGAACCCAGGGCGCGGTTGTGAAAAATACGCGAGTTAACACCTGTATCACCAACACCTGTGAAATATAAAGAGCGTTAATTAACCTCTACGCAGGTATAATATTTTTTATTGTGGTGGAAATACCGTACTGTCACCCCATCTGGTCCCCGAGATATGCTAGGGACTGTCAGTTGGTTGAAAATGTTCAAAGGAGGGCCACCAAACTGGTGCCTGCACTTCGGCATCTCAGCTGCCCTGAGAGATTGGAGCGCCTGAACTTGCCTAGCTTATACTACAGACGGGCAAGGGGGGACCTAGTTGAGGTTTATAAGCATCTCAGGGGGCACTACTCAGTTGAGTGTCCTTACTTGGAGCTGGCGGACGCTCGCCCCACAAGGGGTCACAGCTCAAGATTGAAGAAGCCGCAAATCCGGAAAACCGTGAGGGCAAACTTTTTCGGAGTGAGGGTTGTAAACTCTTGGAACAATCTACCAGAGAGTGTTGTGACGGCACCGAGTGTGAACTCTTTCAAGACAAGACTTGACCAACACTGGAGCGGGTTCAGGTACATTCAGGAGCCGGTGCATGCCCAGTATTTGCCAACAGTGCGTGACAGAGACGTGACCGATCGCCCGGGCGGCTAGCGAGCCGACATTTTGGTGAAGAATATAAAGGAAAAGAGACGTGACCGATCGCCCAAGCGGCTAACAAGCCGATCAGTGGCGAAGAGGATAAAAGTAAAAGTAAAAAGTTAAGAGGAAGGAAGGAAGGGAGGGAGGAGGAGGAGGAGGAGGAGGATTTGTGATTATGATAAGGCGATTAACTATTCACTATTAAGCTACAGAAAATCGCCTGTACACACACACACTTCACTATCTACAAGTTACAAAAACAATGGCGGTAAAATCTACAGACTTATCAGGGGCGGATCCAGTGGGAAGGTCCAGGGTGCCCGGACCCCCCTTTTCATCAGAAAATTCAAAACCTTTTATTTAATGCAGTATTGTACTCAGGTGTTTTTATATCGTAAAATGTAATTAATATTGACCTCAGAATATCTCCTAATATCAAATGCACATGGCTTTAAAATGGCGTCAAAATACCCATGGTATTTGGTCAGATTAAAACAAAAATTCTGGGGGCTTACAGCGCCCACCCCTCCCTCCCTACCCTCCCCCCCTAAGTTTCTTGGAACCTCCTTTTGGTATTCCAGGATCCACCCCTGCTTATGATATATGTTGTGACACAATACGTAAGTAATTCTTCATAAATATTAGAGCTAGTCCCACGATTTGAATAAATAGTTTTCTATGACTCAAGTTTATATCTTTGAAGAAAACGTAAAATCTCTCCTTAGATATTGTGCTGGGTAACTATAGGAATATGAGAAGGGGTTGGTAAAGTGTCGTCTAATACACACGTTAATATAAAGATAACTATGAAATCTAACCGCAGATAATGATATTGTTCTTGTGAGGGTTAACTAATCTTAATCCAGTTAATTAACATAATGAATATATGGTCTCTTGATACTTATGTAATAAAAAGTTTATTGTATCTCGAAAAACTGAGAATGATGTGTCTTGTTCACTGTACATTAAATTATTAGTAATACAGAAAAGTAACTCAATTTGAGACACAATGTTAATACGAATTTCTCTCTCAGTTGCCATAGACAGACAGATAGATCATGAAACATTAATAATATAAAACGGTGAAGAATATTTTATTACGCGAGAATGAACTAATATCACTTACAGGTTCTTCATAACACATAGCGTCGTGTTATCAGTATCTAGAATTGTGATAAAAGCGATGTCTATAGTTCTTCCGGTTAAAAAGACGATAAACTAGTCGAGATAAGTTATCGTGATAAGATAGAGAGTTTACCCTCAGTGTGGGGTGAACTTCTGACAGCAGATGTACACTTACTTACCTCTGGCTGCTTATTTACGAGACAAACACTTAATATTGTGTACACTCGGTGCCAACTCTTCACTAGGCATCTCCTCGCTGTTTACGGTGTGGACGGTATCTTGTTATAGTCTGGTGTTTCTACCTCGTCCTGGCCAATACATCATGTACACAGTGCACCAGAACCGTAGAGAGGCCAGACTACGTGACAAGTGACGGTGTATTATTATATAATTCTCACCGCTCTCAGAACTCCTCAGCTTTAACGTAAGTATACTGAATATTATCCTTTATTGTGACTACACTAAGCACACATAATTTTGACTATTTAATAACATATACTTGTGGGTTTTTATTTTATGCCTTACTTGTTCAGACTCCTAAACACACACGTATTATTATTATTATTATTATTATTATTATTATTATTATTATTACCCTTAAACGATATCTAATTGACGCCCCAGTAAATCTTATCTCTATGGCTGCTAAAGGAGTGTATGACTCAGTGTGTGTGTGCGTGTGTTTGTGTGTGTGGTGTCTCGGTACTGTCTTTGTCTAAGCTCGTTACTGAGTTCTCTAAATCCCAAAGATGTTGTTTATAACTGGAAGGGGGGTGTATCATCAGGCTATTGTGCTATTGGTTGTGCGATAACTGGTGATTTGGCTGTACGATAAATCATTACCTTTTTCTCCCTCTATATCCTCACTTAATAGAATAAACTGTTATGTTGATGTTCCCGCCAAGAGTTTATACGTAGGACATGTGCTGTTTCCCTTGCCCACCGTGTCCTTTACTGTATGTTTGTGTGTATAAGTCATTCTCACTTCTTCATGTTGTGAGGAGTGTTTGTCTCCGGGTTGTGATGAGGACAAGCTTCTCTTAACAACATATTTATAGTTCACAACCTGGAAATACTATGGTTTGTGCACTAATATAATATAAGTAAAAGGTGTTGTATTTAGTGACTGAATGGAAGAACATTTTACAACGTACAGGAAGAACAGTGTTATTTATATTGTTGAATTTAAAAGACTTGATCTTTTCCAGGGTGAGAGCGAAGCTATGGAGGAGGACCAACAACCTCTGCTGCAGGAGTCACCCATACCCTTCGTCAGGAACAGCCACCTCAGGATCACCAAACGTAGGTTAAATAACTCCAACACACTGAGCTACCACCACCAACCACACAGTTCAACTACCTCTAAACCTCAGCCGCTTGAGCTTCACCACACCCAGCCGAGTGACCGTCCACCACACACTGCCTCTCAGGTCAGGCCGCCACGCCCGCCTCCCCGACACACTGATAACATCCTACCCAGAGAGTATGTTGAGGTAAGTAAGTCACATTCAGAGGCTTACGGAGGAAACATCGGGAGCAGTAGAGTGCCAGCCCAATACCATAGGCCACTCTCGCCCACCCCTCACCCCCCACTCACGCCCACCCCTCACTCCCCACTCTCGCCCACCCCTCACTCCCCACTCTCGCCCACCCCTCACTCCCCACAAGGCCACCAGCTTCAAGGTCACGATTCGGCGAGGAATTCACAATCTTTTACTTATGGAAATCATCGTCCACCAAATCTGCTGCCACGCAATGGATCTCAACGCAATGCCAATTTTTTCACCATCTCAAGTGCTGGGGGTCACCAGTTGCCGCAAGATTTCTCTCGTTCTAACACCAACTCCAAAGATTCTTGGAGTCAACTGCTGCCTGCAACACTCCCGCCTCCACAGCGTAAGGTAACCTCACCCTCCAACAGCCTTCCGTCACGGTCACCTACTCCTGGCAATGACTCCCGGAAAGACCTCAAGCATTGGTTTAGGAAGGGGAACTCACAGTCTCCTAGTCGAAAAGTGACGCCCTCCAGCGAGGAATCCAGCACATACCTTGAACCCTCTAAGGTCTCCCAGACTAGTAATAACTCTGGAAGCAGTTCTAGGGGATTTTTCGGCAGGTTGCAGAGGTCTCTCACTCCCTCCCCTCACCGAACTGCCTCACAACCTTCTTCCACAACTTATAGGAGATCTCTTCACCCATCCGACACCCATTCAGAATGTAGCTTTAGAAGATGTGGAAGTCTACCCATACCGAAAACACAACCCGTAAGCAACTCTAACTTGTATCTTCAGCCTCGAGTGAGTAAGGACACTTCCCCGTCGAAAGAAAGGCTGTCAAGATCCACCTCTGAGAAAGTGAGGCCCTCTAACCCCTGGGGAGAAGGTTCATATATGCTGTGGCCGCTAAAACCTTACACCGAGACCGATTTACAGACGAACAAAAGCCAACATCATGGCGGCAATAACTCGGCACACACAACCCTCAACAGGGGCAGAAAGGAAGACGGCCAGCGGAGAGCAGTACCTCGGCAAGCAGGTGTGGCGACGATTTCTACGGTGTTGCCAGCAGAAGAACAAGATCCTCACTCTCTGGAGAAGGAAGAGGAGGAAGAGGACCGCCCAGGATCAAGGTGTAGTCTATCCTCGAGGCCACGACTACAAGGTATCCACAGCCAACCTTTCGGGACCAACTCAGATGTGAATCGTGCGGTAAGTACAGCACTGACTGACTGTTGTCCATCTAACGGAACACATTCACTCGTCCGTCTCTTTCTCTCTCTCTCAGACACAACCTTGTTATACTCTTGTGTATATATATATGTTTACCTTCTATCAGTCAATCTCTTCTGGCCAGTCTTTACAGTAGCCATGTTGCCTCCATACTCACTTTACCATAAACATTATTATACTTCTTATATATAATGCCAAGTATTTTATATAAACTAGAGTAATGTTGATTATAATTCACACCCCAGAGATTTATAACACAATTTGGAACATTTTCATATTTTTGTTTCTGTAACGCCTTCCTGATAATGTTCACGGCCACTACAATGATGGTGACGACAAACCCGTCAGTGTTACAACAAACCCGTCAGTGTTACAACAAACCCGTCAGTGTTACAACAAACCCGTCAGAACACTGTTAGTTAGTGACCTCTTTCTCTCTCTCTCGCCCTCACAGCTGGTGCAGGAGTCCAGACTGTACCTCCCAGTCAACGACGGCGTACCGTCCTCAGACCTCCCTCAAACCTTACCGAGACCGCTAAGGAAATCCACAGACTTGAGGTAAGTGTCACGAGCCCATATTCTCCGCCCGTACAGGAGTCCTGAGTCACACTGTTTGTTTACATTCCCCGCCTTTAGCAGTGAGGACAGAATATTAGATAAACTGTTTGTAGAGATTATCAAGGGAGCTTTATTACGTCACCTGCGAGTGTAGTGGGGAAATATATTTCCTTTTGTTGTTGCTATTATTACATGAAGGAATTAGTATTGTGTTCATAACTTCCTGTTGTGTACGATGCCTTGCCTTCCTTCCTTCTCCTCCTCCCCCTTTTTCTCCCTCTTCCCCTTTCTCCTCCTCCTCATTGAGGTGTTGGATCATCAGAGTGAAATACGCTAGGGTGTCTATTCTTCATGTGATCCGCCTCTACATACAACCTACCTGTCGCTGAGTACATCATCACCAGAAACACCTGTGTACTGTGTCACCTGTGGCCACACCTCATTACCTGGTCAACCATTGTGTTGATCCAAGTTACATCATCTCCTCCCCCTCCCTCCACACCCACACAGATTAACACAAAGTTATATTCGTCTTCGGAGAATATTCAAATACTTTACGAAAAGTTGGGGACTGTCACTGTTAATACTTCACCGTGTCCCTTTAGTGGTCCGTGTTCGATCCCAGGATCAGTCAAAGGGTTTCCCACAGCAGTCATGGTCAGGCGGGGGATAAAACCAGCTGATCAAGTGACAAGACGGACACATTACTTCGTCGGCCTCTGTGTGGGGCGATGTTACTTGTATATATGAGTCTGGAGTTAACTCTGCCCGTCTCGTCAGACATCATGGCTCAAGTGATGTAAAACTGACACACTTCTTTATCCCCAGGGACAGTGACTACCTGACACCTTCACCACCAAGAAGCAGCAGAAGTAGTAGTAGCAGCGGCATCAGCAGTAGCGGCAGCATCAGCAGTAGCAGCATCAGCAGCAGTATCAGCAGTAGCAGCAGCAGTTGTGGCATAAGCAGCAGCAGCAGCGGCAGCAGCAGCAGTTGTGGCATAAGCAGCAGCAGCAGCGGCAGCAGCAGCAACAGCGGCAGTAGCAACAGTAGTGAAAGCAGCAGCAGTAACTGCAGTAGTAGTGACAGCAACTCCTTCAGCCGGCAGAGGAGGTATTCTGGATCACCAAGAGACAATCTCTCCTCTATTTACGAGATCCCCGAGAGCTCGAGAAGTATTAGTTTGTATCGGAAGAGCTCCATCGCCTCCTCGGACGCTGAACCTTACGTCTTAGAGTACATCGATGACCGGCTGGACGCTGCTGCTGAACAGTCCTCTAAGGCGGTGGACCCGCACCGTGACCACTTCTCTTTTCTAATAGAAAATGATACCGAATATATTGGATGCCTTCAGGATATGTTAAGGATCTATGGGGCCATGTGTGGAGAAACACCATCACATATACGACAACATTTTGATGTTTTCTTTAAACAAATGGAAGTGATATATCAGTTTCAAATTGTGTTACACGCAGAGTTAAGAGACACTAAGGGAGACTTGACGAAGCTGGCGAAGGTGTTCAAAGACGAGCAGTTCCAGGCTTACAGCCGTTATATGACGATGACGCCAAATGTTCAGAAAGACTTTCAGAGACATGCTTCTTATTTCAGTGAACATTTTCCTGACTTGAAGAGAAATATACTTAAGCCTTCCTTGAGGATCAACTTCTATGTTATGCTTCTAGACAGCTTCAGGAAACAAGCGTCGGAAAAGGAGAAGTCAGACCTAAATTCCGCTATCGAGTTCCTGAACCAACTGAAGCGTAAAGCTAACACCCTCATGACTATCGCCAACGTCACCAGCAGCCCCGTCGACCTGCGACTGGGAGGCGACGTCCTGAAAATTGGGGACCTCTTCTGCTTGAGTGGCGGCTGCCTCCAGAAGAGAAAATACTACATAATATTGTTCGAGAACTTACTGGTCATTACCTCCTCCAAGATGGAGTTCTTTAAGTACAAAATACATTACCGTGCTGAGAGGCTGGAACAGGTGGAGGCCGCCGGGGAGACTGAGGTACTGCTGCAGGTGCTGACGGAGGAACAGTCCCACCGAGTCACCATGAGATTCAAAGCAAAGAATTCCTCCCTCAGAGATCAGTGGGTTAGTGAGCTGCAGAAGATTGTACAGCAGAACACAACTCTCAAACAGAGGGAGTGTCACACTCTGGCGACAAAGGAGCAGTCTCAGCTATTCCCTTTGGACCTGTACACAGTGTACCCACAGCTTCACAACACCATGGCACAGCACGACACGTTAAGCACACCTGGGTCATTCTCAACAGAAGAGATTTGCCAACAACTCGTCTCTCAGGAGAAGACGTATGTAAGTCAGTTGTCGTCTCTCCTTAACCCCGATGCTCTCTCCCCAGCAGAAAGTCTGTGTATTCTCCTAGGGAAGTTATATACACTACACAGCAGAAATATTCTCCCTTCTCTAGACAAGCCACATTCTCTACGGGAAATTTTAAACTGCTTCTTAGAAAACCTCGAGTTGTTTGACGTCTACATCGACTATCTTGTTATCCGCTGCCAGATGACCACACAGCTGGACCAGGGCACGGAGGCCAGACTCTACATCTCGCCCGTTCAGCACCTCATCTTCTACCTCATTTGGCTGCGGGAGTTGTGCCGGAATCCAACCTTCCGGGAAGACGCTGAGACAATACTAAAACATTTCCAGAGTTGTGTAAGAAGAGCACAGATGAGGCTACTGACGGAGGCCATCATCAACTGTCGGGTAGACTTCATCAGGAGCGGTGACATCATCCGACACGACAAAATGGAAGTGAGGACGAAGAAAAAAGGTCGTGGAGGAACTTACTTCGCGTTGCTCTTCAAGAAAATCATCATCCTGACCAGACAAAGGCCTCCCCTCTACGAGTATCTCTGGGAAATCTGGCTGGACCAAGTCAACATGGGTCCTCCCACCAACTCTGATTTAACATTTAAGTTGGAGGTTCGTCAGGGGGGAGGCAAGGAACCGGTCACTTATGAGTTCCGGGCGTCCAGTGCGGCCACCAAGCAGGAGTGGCTCAAGTGTATCCAGCAGCAAATGTTGCAACAGGCGGAGCGCATCAGAAAACAGATATCCACAGACTTCTGAAGGAGATATGGCGGCCATTAACAACACTTAACATCCTTACGTCCCACAGAAATATCGAGTCTTTCTTTCTGATTCCCTTCTTCCTTCGCCAAGAGATTCGGGTGTGTGTCGCCCCTCGGCCCATCAGAGAACCTTACCTGAACTATCATCTCCTCCTTCAGCTCTCAACACCCACCCCTTCAGGTTCTCCTTCAGCTCTCAACACCCACCCCTTCAGCTCCTCCTTCAGCTCTCAACACCCACCCCTTCAGGTCCTCCTTCGTCGACTCACTTTAACTTTCTCTCACCTCTCTAGACAATTTTCTTTACTGGCCTGCTGACGGTGTGTACACTGCCTGGTCCGTCTGGGTGTATTACTGACACTTGAAACAACCTCCTGACGGCAGCTACAGGGAGTAAATCTTGGCAAGTCTGCTGTCATGTACAGAACTTCCCTGACCAACTACTGACATGTACTTCCCTAAACGGCTACTGACGTGATGGGAGGAAAGGTCACCATATATAAACCTGTACTTTCTGGACTATGTTTGTTATTGTTGACAAAGATAATCATTTTATTTATTAATACCTTATAACTAGATGATGATAATAAAAGGTTATATTATCATTGTCGTGTATGTAACCTTATCGGGGCAGAAGTTAGGGGCGGATGTCCCGTAGGAGTTAAAGGGACCCAAACTCAAGGGAGACACCCAGGATGACCGGACAACTTACTAACTACACTGGCTAACTATTGACTTTGCGAGGCCACACACACACACACACGAACTTACGACACACACATGACTGCCTAAATAACTTAATTTTAAAATCTTTGACGAGGAGAATCACCATAACTACTGCCCTCTGATGGCCTGATGGTAAACTATTGTGCATTAATCCATATGGAGGTATCTGCCATATGACTTGTACTGTACTAACCTTATTTCGTCGATAGTTGCTCTTATGAGTTAATGTAATGTCTTCAGTCTGTGTCGCTTTCATTACTTGAAGCAGTGTCCTAAAAAACTGAGTTATAGTTTTATACATAATTTTAGTTAGAATTTCGTTTCTTTGAAAATATAAATACGAAATTTCGATACAGTTATTCCATCAGTGTGTTTACTCTGAAGTGTCTTTTGAAATACTGTTGTTCAGATAACCAACACGTCACCAAGACATCATTAATACGTCACCAGCACGTCACCAAGACATCATTAGTACGTCACCAACACGTCACCAAGACATCATTAGTACGTCACCAACACGTCACCAAGACATCATTAGTACGTCACCAACACGTCACCAGTGCACCAACCCCTAGGTCCCACACTGTATTGAGTCTGTAAAATAATCTTCTCCTTTATATAGAGTTTCCTCCCCCAAGCTCACGACCATTCAGAGAGCTGGGAAAAGCCATAAATAAGTTGATGGCTAGTTTACTTGTCACTGACGATCATTAGAGGAGAGTTGTGATGGTTGAATGTGGTAGTGTTGTGGTTGCTGGTGGTTATGAGTTATTGTTATGGTTATGGCAGTCAGTGTTGTGGTCTTATGTTACAATAATACAACAATACAGGAAATTGGGTAAATACAGAAACAAATTATTTTATTTGTATATGGTTTTATTTAATCTCTCTTGTTATACAGTTATCTAGTCTCGTATATCTATGTGTAACGAGGTCAAGCGCCATCACCTTCCACCTTTTAATATCAATATGATATTAAATTTGTTAATAAGAAAAGGAAGTGCAATTTTTTTTTGCTGCTTGGAACAGCAAGTATAAGGAGGCGAATTTTAAGAGTAAAAACAAAAGAGCATCGTTTAATAGATGCCAGCACGGGTGTTGCGCTGCACTGTGGGGGTTACGAACTCTTTTAATACTGAAACAAAATATGTGCAGTTTATAGTTTTTTTGCACTTTCTAATGCCAACTAGAGTGAGCAAGGTGGATGGGTGGATGGATAGATGGATGGAAGATGGGCACGCATATAAAAATAAATAATATCGATTAATAATAAAGTATTTCTCACACTGTCTTATAGAGGAAATTATGAATAAATCGATCATCTATTTTTTCGTTCATTACTGAGACGTTGTAGAAAAACAATTATTTCTTTAAAATGGCATCCTTGATTAAACACAACTTTAATAACATGGGAAAATAATAATAAAAACACCAATTTGTACAAATAAAAAAAAAAACATCAAATAATAATAATAATATATGTAGATAATTTGCATCAAAGTTAATTTATTTGTAAAGGGAGAAAGAGCCACAAGGGTTGAGATCACTTGCCTTACCCAATAAACTCAATAAATCTGTCTGTTACTAAACAAAAATCATTACACTGCCTTCATCACATACAGTAGGTTTATCAATATAATCTCTAGGAACAACTATTAACAGATAAATGATTTTTTTTCTTCTTATTTTCAGGGCGTACTCTTAGGGAATTTGTACTCATCAATGACGTTGTGTGACCCTGAGGTACATGTACTCTGCAGGGCCACAAGGTCACTTTATTATTGCCATGGCAGCAGTGTCTTATGGTAAAAATCTCTTGACGGTAAATAATTATTGTCTATTAAACTATTTCAATGCCTGTTGGAGGATTTCAGATTGTCTTTAGTTTATAAATACAACAACAAAAACTACAGGGTTCTTGATACGTGAGACCGTCCCCTTCTAGGAAATAAAACAAGTACATCATCAAATTGGAGACCGTAAATACACACAAAATGGATTAAAATCTTTCTAAAAACTGGAGATAACAACTTCTAACAGCTTAGAAACAAAATAAAAGTTTTTTCTTGATATTTAAGACCATTCCCTCCCAAACGTACAACAATAACAAAAGCTTTTTTGAATTGATAGTCGTCTTTCTCCAGGGGACTACTATCAGTCATCGGTGGGAGGACGTCCACTAATAATTTTCAACAAATAAAGACGTCAAAACCTAATAACATAATGGGTAATATAACAGTGCCGTCACTCTGTGTAGTAACTATATAGACAGTGCCCAATCCTGAATCAGTCTGTACTGTACTTCTTCTAAAATCACAGTCATCAGTGATTTCCACTTGGAAAATAATAATAAATTAAGTTAATATTTACATTTATACAAGGTTTGAACTTTACACTTTATACAGTTGAGGACTTAAGAGGCGGGTGGCTTAACTACTGGGCGGGCAGAGGTGCTCCTCCACCCAGTACTGGGCGGGCAGAGGTGCTCCTCCACCCAGTACTGGGCGGGCAGAGGTGCTCCTCCACCCAGTACTGGGCGGGCAGAGGTGCTCCTCCACCCAGTACTGGGCGGGCAGAGGTGCTCCTCCACCCAGTACTGGGCGGGCAGGAAGCGCCCATGGACGGACGAGCCTCACATTAGCGGGCAGGACCGCAACAGTGTGACTCTCGCCTCCAGTAGACGTATACACAACAAGTCACAGAGTCAGTCTAGCCAGGGAGACATATGGCTGTGAGAATGACCGCCTCTTTAGTCCTAACTAGGATTGTCTGACTGGGTGTACTGTACAAGCTGCGGCGGTACACCCAGCCTCACCCCGTGGAGGGCAGTGAAGTAACCGCTACGGACGGTACGACAAGGAGGGTCACACACACGATGACCACGAGTCAGGTCACGGAAATGTTGAGCACAGAAGCGGAAGTGAAAAAAGCCCTAAGTGATCAACCAGCTGACTCATCACGGCGGGGTCAGCAGGGGTCAACGGAGGTCAGTATCCACCAATAATAGCCACAGTGTTGAGCATAAATAAATAAGACAAATAACACGTCAAGAGTTCAGTCGTATGTGTGGTGTGTCGGTTATGGTGAGTCATTATGGTGTTACAGTCATTATGGTGTTACAGTCATTATGGTGTTACAGTCATTATGGTGGCACAGTCATTATGATGTTACAGTCATTATGGTGTTACAGTCATTATGGTGGCACAGTCATTATAGTGTCACAGTCATTATGGTGTCACAGTCATTATGGTGTCGCAGTCATTATGGTGTCACAGTCATTATGGTGTCGCAGTCATTATAGTGTCACAGTCATTATGGTGTCACAGTCATTATGGTGTCACAGTCATTATGGTGTCACAGTCATTATGGTGTCACAGTCATTATGGTGTCGCAGTCATTATAGTGTCACAGTCATTTTGGTGTCGCAGTCATTATGGTGTTACAGTCATTATAGTGTCACAGTCATTATAGTGTCACAGTCATTATGGTGTTACGGTCATTATGATGTTACAGTCATTATGGTGTTACAGTCATTATGGTATCACATTCATTATGGTGTTACAGTCATTATGATGTTACAGTCATTATAGTGTCACAGACATTATAGTGTCACAGTCATTATAGTGGCACAGTGATTATAGTGTTAATGTCATTATAGTGTTAGTCATTATAGTGCCACGGTGAGTATAGTGTTAGTCATTATAATGTCGCAGTCATTATAGTGTCAGTCTTTATGGTGCTATAGTCATTGTAGTGTCAGTCTTTATGGTGCTATAGTCATTATAGTGTCAGTCTTTATGGTGCTATAGTCATTATAGTGTCGCAGTCATTATGGTGTCACAGTCATTATAGTGTCACAGTCATTATGGTGACACAGTCATTATAGTGTTACAGTCTTTATAATGTCACAGTCATTATGGTGACACAGTCATTATAGTGTCACAGTCATTATAGTGTCAATAATTATAGTGTCACGATCATTATAGTGTCACAGTCATTATAGTGTCACAGTCATTATAGTGTCAATAATTATAGTGTCACGATCATTATAGTGTCACAGTCATTATAGTGTTACAGTCATTATAGTGTTACAGTCATTATAGTGATTCAGTCATTATAGTGTCACAGTCATTATGGTGTCCGTCATCATAGTGTCACAGTCATTATAGTGTCACAGTCATTATAGTGTTACAGTCAATATAGTGTTACAGTCATTATAGTGTCACAGTCATTATGGTGTCAATCATTATAGTGTCACAGTCATTATAGTGTTACAGTTATTATAGTGTCACAGTCATTATAGTGTCACAGTCATTTTATTCACAGTCATTATGGTGTCAGTCATTATAGTGTCACAGTCATTATAGTGTCAGTATCATTATAGTGTCACAGTCATTATAGTGTCACAGTCATTATAGTGTCACAGTCATCATAGTGTCAATCATTATAGTATCACGATCATTATAGTGCCACGGTCATTATGATGTCAGTCATTATAGTGTCACAGTCATTATAGTGTTACAGTCATTATAGGGTCACAGTCATTATAGTGTTAGTCATTATAGTGTCACGGTCATTATAGTGGCACAGTAATTATAGTGTTAATGTCATTATAGTGTTAGTCATTATAGTGTAATGGTGAGTATAGTGTTAGTCATTATAGTGTCACATTCATTATATTGTCACAGTGATTATGGTGTCAGTCATTATAGTGACAGTCATTATAGTGTCACAGTCATTATAGTGTTACAGTCATTATAGTGTCACAGTCATTATTGTGTCATAGTTATTATAGTGACAGTCATTATAGTGTTACAGTCATTATAGTGTCACAGTCATTATGGTGTCAGTCATTATAGTCACGGTCATTTTGGTGTCACAGTCATTATAGTGTCATGGTCATTATAGTGTCACAGTCATTATAGTGACAGTCATTATAGTGTCACAGTCATTATAGTGTCATGGTCATTATAGTGTCAGTCATTATAGTGTCACAGTCATTATAGTGTTACAGTCATTATAGTGTCACAGTCATTATAGTGTTACAGTCATTATAGTGTTACAGTCATTATAGTGTCACAGTCATTATAATGTCACAGTCATTATAGTGTCACAGTCATTATAGTGTCACAGTCATTTTGGTGTCAGTCATTATAGTCACGGTCATTTTGGTGTCACAGTCATTATAATGTCACAGTCATTATAGTGTCACAGTCATTATAGTGTCACAGTCATTTTGGTGTCAGTCATTATAGTCACGGTCATTTTGGTGTCGCAGTCATTATAGTGTCATGGTCATTATAGTGTCACAGTCATTATAGTGACAGTCATTATAGTGTCACAGTCATTATAGTGTTAGTCATTATAGTGTCACAGTCATTATAGTGTTACAGTCATTATAGTGTCACAGTCATTATAGTGTCACAGTCATTATAATGTCACAGTCATTATAGTGTCACCAATTATTATAGTGTCACAGTCATTTTGGTGTCAGTCATTATAGTCACGGTCATTATAGTGTTACAGTCATTATAGTGATTCAGTCATTATAGTGTCACAGTCATTATGGTGTCCGTCATCATAGTGTCACAGTCATTATAGTGTCACAGTCATTATGGTGTCACAGTCATTATAGTGTCATGGTCATTATAGTGTCACAGTCATTATGGTGTCACAGTCATTATAATGTCACAGTCATTATAGTGTCACAGTCATTTTGGTGTCAGTCATTATAGTCACGGTCATTTTGGTGTCACAGTCATTATGGAGTCACAGTCATTATAGTGTCACAGTCATTATAGTGTCAGTCATTATAGTGTTACACTCATTATAGTGTCACAGTCATTATAGTGTCACAGTCATTATGAAGTCACAGTCATTATAGTGTCACAGTCATCATAGTGTCAGTCATTATAGTGTCACAGTCATTATAGTGTCACAGTCATTATTGAGTCACAGTCATTATAGTGTCACAGTCATTATAGTGTTACTGTCATTATAGTGTCACATTCATTATGGTGTCACAGTTATTATAGTGACAGTCATTATAGTGTTAGTCATGATAGTGTTAGTCATTATAGTGTCACAGTCATTATAGTGTTACAGTCATTATGGTGTTACAGTCATTATGGTGTTACAGTCATTATGGTGTTACAGTCATTATGGTGTTACAGTCATTATAGTGTTACGGTCATTATAGTGTTACAGTTATTATAGTGTCACGGTCATTATAGTGTTAGTCATTATTTTGTCAGTCATTATAGTGTTACAGTCATTATAGTGTCACAGTCATTATGGTGTTAGTCATTATAGTGTCACAGTCACTATAGTGTCACGGTCATTATAGTGTTACAGTAATTATAGTGTCACGGTCATTATAGTGTTACAGTCATTATAGTGTTACAGACATTATAGTGTCACAGTCATTATAGTGTTACGGTAATTATGGTGTCAGTCATTATAGTGTCACAGTCCTTATGGTGTCACTGTCATTATAGTGTCACAGTCATTATAGTGGCACAATCATTATAGTTTCACAGTCATTATTGTGTTAGTCATTATGGTGTCACAGTCATTATGGTGTCACAGTCATTATAGTGTCACATTGTGTCACAGTCATTATGGTGTTACAGTCATTATAGCGTCACGGTAATTATAGTGTCACAGTCATTATAGTGTTAGTCACTATAGTGTTACAGTCCTTATAGTGTTACAGTCATTATAGTGTCACAGTCATTAGAGTGTCACAGTCATTATAGTGTCAAGGTCATTATCGTGTCACGCTCATTATAGTGTTACAGTCATCATAGTGTTACAGTCATTATAGAGTTACAGTCATTATAGTGTCATAGTCATTATAGTGTCAGTCATTATATTGTCAGTCATTATAGTGTTACAGTCATTACAGTGTCACAGTCATTATGGTGTTACAGTCATTATGGTGTTACAGTCATTATGGTGTTACAGTCATTATGGTGTCACAGTTATCATAGCGTCACAGTCATTATAGTGTCACGGTCATTATAGTGTTACAGTCATTATAGTGTCACGGTCATTATAGTGTTAGTCATTATATTGTCACAGTCATTATAGTGTTACAGTCATTATAGTTTCACAGTCATTATGGTGTTACAGTCATTATAGTGTCGCAGTCACTATAGTGTCACGGTCATTAGTGTTACAGTAATTATAGTGTCACGGTCATTATAGTGTTACAGTCATTATAGTGTCACAGTCATTATAGTGTTACGGTAACTATGGTGTCAGTCATTATAGTGTCACAGTCCTTATGGTGTCGCTGTCATTATAGTGTCACTGTCATTATAGTGTCACAATCATTATAGTTTCACAGTCATTATTGTGTTAGTCATTATGGTGTCACAGTCATTATGGTGTCACAGTCATTATAGTGTCACATTGTGTCACAGTCATTATGGTGTTACAGTCATTATAGTGTCACAGTCACTATAGTGTTACAGTCATTATAGCGTCACGGTAATTATAGTGTCACAGTCATTATAGTGTTAGTCACCATAGTGTTACCGTCCTTATAGTGTTAGTCATTATAGTCTCACGGTCATTATAGTGTCACACTCATTATAGTGTCACAGTCTTTATAGTGTTAGTCACCATATTATTACAGTTATTATAGTGTCACAGTCATTATAGTGTCACAGTCATTATAGTGTCACGGTCATTATCGTGTCACGCTCATTATAGTGTTACAGTCATCATAGTGTTACAGTCATTATGGAGTTACAGTCATTATAGTGTCATAGTCATTATAGTGTCAGTCATTATAGTGTCCCAGTCATTATGGCGTTAGTCATTATGGTGTTAGTCATTATAGTGTTAGTCATTATAGTGTCAGTCATTATATTGTCAGTCATTATAGTGTTACAGTCATTATATTGTCAGTCATTATAGTGTTACAGTCATTATAGTGTCACTGTCATTAAAGTGTCATAGTCATTATAGTGTTGTTATCATTATAATGTCACAGTCATTATAGTGTTACAGTCATTATAGTGTTACGTCATGTCATCATTATAGTGTTACAGTCATTATAGTCATCATTATAGTGTCACTGTCATTATAGTGTCACAGTCATTATGGTGTTACAGTCATTATGGTGTCAGTCATTATAGTGTCATAGTCATTATAGTGTTATAGTCATTATAGTGTTACAGTCAGTATAGTGTCACAGTCATTATAGTGTTACAGTCATTATAGTGTCACAGTCATTATGGTGTCACAGTCATTATAGTGATAGTCATTATAGTGTCACAGTCATTATAGTGATAGTCATTATAGTGTCACAGTCATTATAGTGTCACAGTCTTTATAGTGTTACTGTAATTATTGTGTCACAGTCATTATAGTGTCACGGTCATTATGGTGTCACAGTCATTATGGTGTTACAGTCATTATGGTGTCAGTCATTATAGTGTCATAGTCATTATAGTGTTATAGTCATTATAGTGTTACAGTCATTATAGTGTCACAGTCATTATAGTGTTACAGTCATTATAGTGTCACAGTCATTATGGTGTCACAGTCATTATAGTGATAGTCATTATAGTGTCACAGTCATTATAGTGATAGTCATTATAGTGTCACAGTCATTATAGTGTTTCAGTCATTATAGAGTCACAGTCATTAGTGTTACTGTCATTATACAGTAGTGTCATAGTCATTATGGTGTTACAGTCATTATAGTGTTACTGTCATTATAGTTTCAGTAATTATAGTGTCAGTCATTATGGTATTATAGTCATTCTAGTGTTACAGTCATTATAGTGGATAGTGGTGGATAAGTGTGGTGGTGGATGAGTGTGGTGGTGGATGAGTGTGGTGGTGGATGAGTGTGGTGGTGGATGAGTGTGGTGGTGGATGAGTGTGGTGGTGGATGAGTGTGGTGGTGGATGAGTGTGGTGGTGGATGAGTGTGGTGGTGGATGAGTGTGGTGGTGGATGATAGTTTACAGTCATTAACAAGACCCCTGACATAGCTCCTTACTAAGATATTAATGATATGTCCTTGAGTGGTGGTATGATGACCCCCAATCCTTGACCCCAGCTGTGACCCCCCAGCCGTGATCAAAACAGTCTTTACTGATGATGATAATAATAATGAATGCCACGGAAGATCAACTAATTAATTAAAAACAAAATAATGCCGATATTGGAATTGAAGTTGAGATATGTTTGATTCATATGTTTTTGTTTTGAAGTTTTGATAGAAGCCAGTGAAAAAATTAATGGAATCCAGTCTCGTCGTTTAGCGTGTAGAAGAGTCTGCCATGTCCACGATGTGTTGCACTGGCTGGTCCAACGACACCTGGTATGGCCAAGACCTTATATGGCCATCTCTCGTCCTCACAAGACCTTATATGGCCACTTCTCGTCCTCACAAGACCTTATATGGCCATCTCTCGTCCTCACAAGACCTTATATGGCCATCTCTCGTCCTCACAAGACCTTATATGGCCACTTCTCATCCTCACAAGACCTTATATGGCCATCTCTCGTCCTCACAAGACCTTATATGGCCACTTCTCGTCCTCACAAAATGCTTTAGAAGGACGTCCAGGTGACACCAATACAATACATTTCTATCCTGTTCTCAGAGTTCAGATAAGCGACAAGATCTTCCGCTATACGCACACACAAACACACACGTATATAAAGCAAATATTGCCAAGTGTTTTCCATATCAAGGAATAAACAAATGAAATTGAGTGTTTTCCATGAGATTTCACCCCACTCGTTTTGACATCAAAGCGAGAGGTCACACACAAACAATAATAAACCTGTTCACTTTGTTATCACAGAGTTTTAGGTGCACTCAATGGCGTGTTGGGCTGAGGACTCAATCACCGAAGGTCTGTTATCTGACTCACACTTAATATCTTGGTTATAGGACTTGAATTCCTCCTGGGACTGTTTGATGAGCTCCTCCGGTATCATGTAGGAGGGGCTCTTCGGGTCGTAGTCACCGCTGTCATGGAGGTCGTGTCTCGGGGACGTTTGCAGACCATCCATACTGCAGGTGTCCACTGTATCTAGGCTGCTCCCTGTTGAGTGACGGACACCAGTTAACACCACACACACACAATACAGTTGGTCATCTTGTTCAGAAAAGTCGAAAAACAGTGAATATTTATCAGTATATCCTGTTATGATCATCTCTACCAGGGAGCGGCGAGGAAACGTAAGATAAATGGTGATAAACAGAATGAGAATATGGAAAGGGAAGAGAGAAAGGGACGGTGAGTCTTATTTGAGGAGGCTGAAACAAACTTGGGGGGAGGAGAAGAAGAATGAGAGGAAGAGAAGAGGAAGGAGAGGAAGAGGAGGAAGAGAGTCTCACCTGAAGCGATTGAGGGACAGTAGTCGTAGCCGCCTGAGGACCCCGTGGGTGAACGCTCTACTGCCAGCTCCTCCTCGGGGGTGGAGGGCTTACAGCTGGTGGTCTTCCAGTGTGTCCTGGACAAAACATACCAACGTTATACATGGCAAACTACCAGTCACGACCACACTACCAGTCATGACCACACTACCAGTCATGACCACACTACAGTACCATACTACCAGTCATGACCACACTACCAGTCATGACCACACTACAGTCCCATACTACCAGTCATGACCACACTACAGTACCATACTACCAGTCATGACCACACTACAGTACCACACTACCAGTCATGACCACACTACAGTACCATACTACCAGTCATGACCACACTACCAGTCATGACCACACTACCACAGTATTTAATATTGGATTAATACTCGAGTTTGACCTTCAATTTGTAAGATTTACTTTATGTTTGATAACTTGGCACATTACACTGAGTTTATTTATGTTAGTATGACTTGATTCCAGCCTTATTGTGAAGTACTGCCAGATAATGTAACAGATGAAGGCATAAGGTGTCTTACCTGAGTCCAGAGGCACTGATGTACTTCTTGTTGCAAGTCTTACACGTGAAGGGTCGTTCGTTGGTGTGCAGTCTCTTGTGCAACTTGAGGTGGACAAACTGTGTGAATTTGGCAGGACACAGGTCGCAGGCGTAAGGCTTCTGGCCGGAGTGTAACCTCATATGAGTCTTCAAGTTTGAGGTGGAACTAAATCTCTTTTTACAGATGTCACATTGGTGGGGCTTCTCGCCTGTGTGGACGAGGTGGTGCTTCTGTAGGTGCGCCAGCTGGGTGAAGCTCTTGATGCAAACGTTACACTTGAAAGGTCGCTCTCCAGAATGGGTTCTGAGGTGCACCTTCAAGTTAGACAACTGACCGAACGTCTTGAAGCATACATTACACTCATAGTGCATCTTACCGTCCTTCTTCTGTAGAGGGTAAGGGAGGGAGCGGTAGCCCCGGTTACCATTGGTGGGGGAGGTGGAGCCCTGGGAGGATGGTGACCCTTGAGAGGAGTGAGAGGAGTTGCTGGAGGGAGGAGAGTGTCCTGACGCCGTGGTGGGGATGGAGATGGTCAGGCGGTGGTCCATCGGCATGGAACCTTGACTCACGGGAGGGAACCCATTAGTGTTCGTGCCGTTGTAGCCGCTGTAGGAGTACATGTTGAAGTGGGGCGAGGAGAACATCTGGGTGACAGGTGTGCGGTAAGAGGAGTTACTGACAGGTGGCTGGATGGCGTAGGACACTTGGGGCTGCGGGTGTGAGGAGGTGTAACACGCTGACCCAGGCTTTTGGTGCGTCGAGGAGGAGTCAGGCGATATCTGTTGACTTGAATCTGAATTACAATAACTGCGTTTGTAAGAGAAGTCCTGAGAAGGCCCTGAACTACTGGTGGCACTGTCAGGCTTGTAATGGGCGTCGCTGGGCACGGCGATGTGGACGGGCTCCTTCAGGTCTCTGTGTGAGGTGACGGCTGACTGAGTGGTGTCCGCCTCATCCTTCCCGCCCAGTCGTCTTAACAGAATATTTTCTAAGATAGAGCCAGACGGGCGGGGAGACACCATCTGAGTGTCTGGTGGCACGGAGAGTCTCGTGTCGGCTGAGAGAGGGTGTCGAGTGTCTTGTGGCCCAGGGTGTCGTGTGTCAGGCTGTACAGAGTGTCTTGTGTCAGGTGGCATGGGCAGGCGTGGATCAGGGGCGACGGTGATGCGGGGGTCCTGAGGTGGCATGACAGGGAGGCGTGGGGGCATGGTGGTGACATTGGGTGGCAGGCCTGGCAGTCTTGTCATTGGTGGAAGAGGGAGGCGCCCCTGGGCAAGACGAGAGTCATGAGGCAGTGGGAGACGGACCACAGGTGGCAGACCCATGCGTGTGTCCGGCATGGGTGGCTGCCGTGTGTCTGGAGATACATGTTGCTTTGTTATGGTGATGCCGGGCAGGGCAGTGTCTGGCAGGACCGGCATACGCGAGTCCGGGAACACTGGGGCATTGCGGGTATCAGGACGAGGCATATCTGTAGGACGAGGCATGTCTACGGGGCGGGACACCTCCGTGGGGCGGGGTACCTCATGGGCTGGGTGTAGGGGCTGGTCTGGCAAGGGGTACCTCCGAGCCGTTTGGTTCTGTGTACTCTCTGGCCGCTGCTCCTTCTCCATAACAGAGTCCACCCGGGGCGTCTGCTCGCTGAAGGTGGTGTAGTGTGTTGGTGGCAAGTATGGCGGAGACCGACGACTGGGCGACGACTCTGGACCTTTTCGCTTAGCAGGATGGGCGGGGGTCGGGGAGGGCCGGGGAGCTGCCTGTGGGAGGGGCTGCTGTGGGTGCTGTTGAAGGAGGGGCTGTGGGAGGGTCTCAGGCAAAGGCGTCATTGGGGGCTCAGCGGCCGCCTGTTGACGTTCCAGCGGGGGCGAGACTGACTTTTCCTTCTCCGAGGTGTCAGAACCTGTGGACTTGGAGCGGTAGTGATAAGCGCGGGACATCTTGATCTTCACTTTCCGGTATTCATTACGAAGCTCAACTTCCTCTTCCTCTGTTGGGAATTCCTTTCTCTTCTTCTTACTACAAAACAAAAGACACACAATTAACCTTAAACTATCTATACAAACAACAAAAACAACGTATTTAACATATTAACACCAACCATAATAAAAGAGTGTAAACAAACTGACCTAAAGTCGAGAACGTAATTATTATCTCCCTCAGAATCAGAAGAATCCTCGGGCATATTAAAGTCATGATGGTAACCGTTGCTGTCATAGCCTTCATCTGACCTCACTGACCCTTCTGTAGGAGTCAACTGGCCGTTCCTCGTCTCGAACTGGGTGGGTGAGGCGACAGGAAGCGAACCAGTAGTCGTGGAGGCTGCAGGGGGAGTCGTCGAGCTCTTGGACGGGACAGCCTCTGGTTCCTCCTTCACATCTGAGTCACCCACTTGTTGGCCTGTTGTAGAGGACACGAGTTAGTCACCTTTAGGAGCTACAATAAACATCTAACATCAATATTCTTTCTAACAATTAACATCATGAAAACTAACATTGCTAAAACCAACTTACGTATTTTGAGTAACATTTGTTCTCCAGTTAGCGGGTAGTTAAGTCTTGTAGCGAACTCCCTGCAGTACCATACTAGCAGCTCCTGGTTGGGTAGGATGGGCTTGATGGTGTAGAAGTAGATGTTTGACTGGTGAGGGAGAGACGAGAGGGAGAGAATTAGTGGTGCTTTAATTTTACCTGTTACACATACACACACACCTGTCACACATCTGTTATATACCTCTTAGATATCTTTCATACAACCAGCATTCACATGTCTCACGCACCCACACAGACAGACACAACTGCCACTAATATTAGTCAAAGATGTTAATAAACTGTAAAGGTCGTAAAGTAAAACGTTCTTTGATGGTCTGTAACATGAATAAAATAAACTGGTGATAAGGACAGAGAAACATGTAATGAGTGGTGTGTGTGTGTGTGTGTGTGTGTGTGTGTGTGTGTGTGTGTGTGTGTGTGTGTGTGTGTGTGTGTGTGTGAGCAGGGAGAGCATTAGAAGAGTCAGCCAACACACAATAACAGAGAGTGGTGACCTGGAGGAAGAGGAAGACGAGAAAAAGAAGAAAAACAACAATCAGGGAGATGACACTCACCTTATACTGACAAGCGATGAGGTTCTGAGCCTCTGAACTGTAGGCAGGGTTCACATAGCGCATCCAGTTGGCCTTAGTAGTGTCGTAACCATCAATATAGTAGTACAGCTCATCCCCGCGGTATACCTGAGACACACGAGCACTTTATTTACCCAGATGACATGCAAGACGCTGGTCAAGAGTTCAAGGGGAGGACGAAGAGAGACGAAAAAAAAACAACTTTATTTGGATTTTCGTAAAGATCGCCTCATCAGATTGAATATACAGGCATTTCAAATAATTAACAGAGGCTTAGAATACAAATAAAACACTCAAAAAGGGATCCATGTGATAAAATCTACTGCAGGGTAAATTTTTTTTAAAAGAATGTTAGACTCAGCTATGAATATAAGCAAACACTAAGCACACATTATTGGAACTCTCTAGGGTCAGTACAATACGTTCCTGGATTAAGATGAAGAATCAAAACAAGTCTACACTATAGGTTACTAATACAATAAACTACAAAAGGAGTTAATTAGTAGAAATAAATCATAAAATGTTCGAATTTATTAGAGTAAATTACATAAATAATAGAGTGCATAGCAGTAGACTGGCAGGACAAAGTAAGAATGAACAGCGCCTTGGAGGAAGTGTGTGTGTGATGCTAACGTGCAGAGAGAGAGGGTGGGGGGAACAGGCAGACACAGGTAAGAGAAGCAGGTACAGGTAAGAGAGGCAGGTACAGGTAAGAGAGGCAGGTACAGGTAGGAGAGGCAGGTACAGGTAAGAGAGGCAGGTACAGGTAAGAGAGGCAGGTACAGGTAAGAGAGGCAGGTACAGGTAAGAGAGGCAGGTACAGGTAAGAGAGGCGGGTACAGGTAAGAGACAGAAGAGAGGCACAGGTAAGAGAGGCAGGTACAGGTACAGGTAGAGGCAGGTACAGGTAAGAGAGCAGGTACAGGTAAGAGAAGCAGGTACAGGTAAGAGAAGCAGGTACAGGTAAGAGAGGCAGGTACAGGTAAGAAGCAGCAGCAGGTACAGGTAAGATAAGCAAGCAGGCACAGGTAAAATCAACTAAAGATGGGTTAAGTTATTTACCTCTAAACGTTTGCCCACGCCAAGATCCACCTAGGAAACAAGAGAGAGAGAAGCCCAGTCACCAGCAAGACATTACCAACACCCTGAGTATAAAAAGTAGATGGAGCCCGGAGCCCTACACAGCCCCACGGAGCTCCACAGAGGCATAAGGAACCCCACAGAGCTACACAGGGCCCTAAGGAGCACTACGGAGTCCCACAGAGCACCATAGATGCACCCATAGAATCCCACAAAGCTCCACAGGGCCCTATAAAGCTCCATAGGGCCCCACAGAGCACTTTAGAGCCCCATAGAGCACCATCACCAGGTAATATCTAACAGTAACTTTTCTGCTACACTGACACCCAATAACAATAATAACAATAACAATAAATAACAACAACAATAAGAATAAATGATAACAATAACATTAACAATAACAATATCGTCATCAATACAGATATATGAAAAAACAAACAAACAAACACATCACCCAACATAAACAGAGTGAGGTAATTATATGGTTTAATTACACGTTATAGAAACTTACCCTCCAGAAGTATTTTCTGTTTGCTGTCTTGGGCACCTGATCCTTGGCATAACACTTGCCCACCAGAGGACCGAAGCGTGTGCCCCTGGGGATATAATCTGTACTCCATATGCCCATTACCTGTTGAAGATGAAGGATAATGACTCATTACTCACAGTAGTTACTCGTAAGTTAATAATACTATCAAGCTTAATAATCGTGATGTGTCAAGCTTAGATTCACATACCTTTAATCAATAACATTGTTAAGGTTAGATTCACTTAAGCCTAACCAATAACATTTTCAAGCTTAGAATAACTTAAGCTTGACTAATAAAACTGTCAGGTACTTACATCGGATATAGTCTGGGAAGCTTTGAGTACAAGGTTGCGAGGCAGGGAGAGTGTAGCATGGTTAGGACAACTTTCCTCCGTGGGTGTATCTGGCACCAGGTACACTGCCCTCTCCTCCCACTCCTCCTCCTTGATGGAGTCCAAATCCCACTCTTCACCCATCTTGGCTGGCTGAGAGGGAGGAAAAAGGGAGAGGGAAGATAAAATTTATTGTTGTTATTGTTGTTGTTTACGTAGACAAGAGTGTGTTATGGGTGATATAGGTAGGTAGAGTTGTTGTTTATCATTGTATATCTGTACTGTCTATGAATATTGTTTGTATACCTGTCTTGTCTACGTATGATAAACATGTTTTTATACAAGGGATCACAACTATAATCAATAATATTTACATAAGGGGTCATAACTATAATCAATAATATTTACATAAGGGGTCATAACTATAATTAATATCATCTACACAAGGGGCCACAACAATAATTAATAACATCTACATAAAAGGTCACAACTACAATTAATACCATCTACATAAAGGGTCATAATTATAAAGAGTATTACTGCTCTCACCATCTGTCTTGGTCTTAGAGGCGACAATCACACATGCCGGAGGGAAGGTGTTGGTCTGACGTCACACACAAACACTCCTGGTGGGGCAAAAGAAAAAATATTATTAGAACCGTGAAGAAAAAATACTTAACAGATATATATATATACAGATGTGGCTTTTAAATGGTGAATAATATACTTCTTTGTGTTTATTATTTGTTAATTTGTTATAACCTTGCGGGATTAAAAGTGTATTTTTTGGTGTACATATTGTAAAGGATTTTTTTTTTTACACGGACATAACATCGTGGTTTTGAGAAATAGTCGCAATATTGTAAACAGTTTTAGTATTACACCCACAGTCCTTATTTTACACCCACAGTCCTTATTTAACACCCACAGTCCTTATTTTACACCCACAGTCCTTATTTAACACCCACAGTCCTTATTTAACACCCACTGTCCTTATTTAACACCCACAGTCCTTATTTAACACCCACAGTCCTTATTCTACACCCACAGTCCTTATTCTACACCCACAAACACAACACTATGTCTTACTGTGAACACTTGAACATGACCGTGAAGGCGCTACACTTGGGATGGTACAACAATCAGAACACTTGTTGTTCACCAAGGCATTGGAAAGTGCAGACGCCTGGCTGGGTGGGGCAGCAACAACACAGCTCAGGTGCGGGAGGGTAACACAGCTAAGGTGCGGAGGCAGTAACACAGCTAAGGTGCGGGAGGGGTGCACAGCCCAGGTGCGGAGGCAGCAACCCAGCTCAGGTGCGGGAGGCAGTAACACAGCTCAGGTGCGGGAGGGGTAACACAGCTAAGGTGCGGGAGGCGTGGCCACAGCCCAGGTGGGCAGCAACACAGCTCAGGTGCGGGAGGCGGTAACACAGCTCAGGTGCGGGAGAGGTAACACAGCCTAAGGTGCGGGAGGCGGTAACACAGCTCAGGTGCAGGAGGTAACACAGCTCAGGTGCGGGAGGCGTAACACAGCTCAGGTGCGGGAGGCGTAACAGACCCAGGTGCGGGAGGCGGCAACACAGCTCAGGTGAGGGCGGCGCATGTCGCGCGCGTGAAACTCGTCCAACTGTTTCGGAATCTTCTTCAATTTAAGGATGAGAGATGAGCATTCCACTGTTTGTTTATTTTGGTGTAGATTGAGAGGTGTTGGGGTTTTATTGTACTGTAGCTATGCGGTGTCTTCTTATGGACATACACCTGTACACACACACGAATACTTACACAGACAGACACACATACATACACAAATTCCACATTATTAAAGTCTCACATCATCTTTGTCTCAATATGGCAAAAAACATATTCCAGTTTGTCATGAAGTAAATAAAAGAGAGAGGTCATCATCCCCGCGCGCCATTGCCGTCATCTGGTGACCCAAATTCACCTTGGGTTGTATGTCACAGTCAGTGAGTGAGAGGCTTTTTTTTGTTCCAAGTTCATTGCCACCAAACTGAACATCTGTGCTCTCTCTCCTCCTCTCTCCCTTCCTCCCTCCTCTCTCCTTCCCTCCTCCTCCCCCTCCCCTCTCTCCCTCCTCCCCTCCTCTCTCCCTTCCTCCTCTCCTCCTCTCCTTCCTCCCTCTCTCCTCCTCCCTCTCTCCCTTCCTCCTCTCTCCCTCCCTTCCTCCTTCTCCCTCTCTCCTCCCTCCCTCTCCCTCCTCTCTCCCCCTTCCTCCTTCTCCCTCTCCTCCTTTCTCTCCCTCCTACTCCCCAGCACCGTCTCTCTCTCTCCTACACTCGCTCGTACTCTCCGTCCGTGAGTCCCACTTGTCTAATCATAGTACTCTGGTGGATGTAAACGGTTATAATCCCTCTTGTTTAAGTGAGTTGTCTTATACTCAGGTCCTCTTGTTACAAGTGGAGTTGGGTCTTTCCCTCTTTGTTTACACGTGGTGGGTCTTATACTCAGTCCTCTTACCCCTTGTTTACACGTGGAGGTGGGTCTTATACTCAGGGTCCCTCTTTGTTTACAAGTAGGTGGGTCTTATACTCAGGGTCCCTCTTTGTTTACTCATTGCTTATCTCACTCTTGCTTGCACCAGCAACACACACACACACACACACACACACACACACACACAACACCATACAACACTATATACACACACAGCACCCTTAATTACCATCGACAAGGCGCCCGATTGACCTACAGACACACACACACACACACAGGTGTTAGCTTGAGGGAGGTGGTGAGGGTAAATATCAGAGAGGATAAGGTGTCGCCTCCTCCTCCTCCTCTTCCTCCTCCGTCATCAGCTGTGCTCTTCCTCCTCCTCCTCCATCCTCAGGTGCCCCTCCTAGAGCCTCCACAGGTGTTCAGAGGAGAAGCATGTCATGTAACGCTGCAGGACCTTCACAGAACACACACACTTAGGTGAGAGAGAGAGAGAGAGAGAGAGAGAGAGAGAGAGAGAGAGAAGAGAGAGAGAGAAAGAGAGAGAGAGAGAGAGAGAGAGAGGAGAACAGTATCTCCTCAACAGATACAGTACTACAGTAATCGTTTGCTGAACAGTCAACGACCTGGATAGCCCAGTTCATGGTACGGAAGGGCATGTGTGTGTGTGTGTGTGTGTGTGTGTGTGTGTGTGTGTGTGTGTGTGTGTGTGTGTGTGTGTGTGTCCTCTCAACGCCACACCTTATAGAAGTTCATGGCCTCAAAGATAATTGAAACACCTTTGACTGGAGGTTTTTTACACGTGGAGGTGAGGTACAGGTACAACGGCAGGGTGAGGTTGAGGTACAGGTACAACGGCAGGTGAGGTGAGTGCAGGTACAGCGGCAGGTGAGGTGAGGTGCAGGTACAACGGCAGGTGGTGGTGACAGGTACAGCGGCAGGTGGTGAGGTGCAGGTACAATGGCAGGTGAGGTGCAGGAGTACAGCAGGTGAGGTGAGGTACAGCGGCAGGTGGGGTGGTGCAGGTACAACGGCAGGTGGTGGTGCAGGTACAGCGGCAGGTGAGGTGAGGTGCAGGTACAGCGGCAGGTGAGGGTGCAGGTACAGTGGCAGGTGAGGTGAGGTGCAGGTACAGCAGGTGAGGTGAGGTACAGGTACAGTGGCAGGTGGGGTGGTACAGGTACAGTGGCAGGTGAGGTGAGGCAGGTACAGTGGCAGGTGAGGTGAGGTACAGTGCAGCGGCAGGTGAGGTGAGTGCAGGTACAGCGGCAGGTGGTGGAGTACAGGTACATGGCAGGTGAGGTGAGGACAGGTACAGCAGCGGCAGGTGAGGTGAGTGCAGGTACAGCGGCAGGTGAGGTGAGGTGCAGGTACAGCGGCAGGTGAGGTGAGGTGCAGGTACAGTGGCAGGTGGGGTGAGGTACAGGTACAGCGGCAGGTGAGGTGGAGTGCAGGTACAGTGGCAGGTGGGGTGAGGTACAGGTACAGCGGCAGGTGGGGGTACAGGTACAGCGGCAGGTGAGGTGGGGTACAGGTACAGCGGCAGGTGAGGTGAGGTACAGGTACAGTGGCAGGAGGGGTGAGGTGAGGTACAGCTGGCAGGTGGGGTGGTGGGTGGCGGCGGAGTAAGGTGAGGTGCAGGTACAGTGGCAGGTGAGGTGAGGTGAGGTACAGGATACAGGGATGTTATGTAACCTGTATCACTCCATCCACGTCAACACAGAGTAGATCACCAGGTTCGCTCGTGGTCACCAGAACCTGAACTGACCCAACGAGGCGCCAAGTACTGATAAAACACACACACACACACACACACACACACACACACACACACACACACACACACACACACACACACACACACACACACACACACACACATACACACACACACACACACACACACACACACACACACACACACACACACAGGATCGTTCTGCCGGTGGTGTAACAAATATGAAAGATTAACATATTTATAATGACAAGCACAGGGCCCTCACCACCACAAGCACAGAGCCCCTACAACACAAGCACAGGGCCCCTACAACACAAGCACAGGGCCCTCACCACCACAACAGGGGCCCTCCTCACCCCACAAGCACAGAGCCCCTACAACACAAGCACAGGGCTACAACACAAGCACAGGGCCCTCACCACCACAGCCCCTACAACACAGAGCCCCTACAACACAACAGGGCCCCTACAACACAAGCACAGGGGCCCTCCCACCACAGAGCCCCTACAACACAAGCACAGGCCCCTACAACACAAGCACAGGGCCCTCACCAACACAAGCACAGGGCCCCCTACAACACAAGCACAGGCCCCTACAACGCAAGCACAGAGCCCCTACAACGCAAGCACAGGCCCTCACCACCACAAGCACAGGGCCCTTACCAGCAGCCCTCACAGCGGAATAAGATGATAGAGTCGATGATTACACAAGCGAGTGGCACTGCGTCACCTGGTCTGCCGTGAGACCTTGAAAACCAGACACGAGTGCCACTGGGTGAATGACCCCTCAGTGCCAGCGCGTCCCGACCCACGCACCTGGCACAGACCTCGGCGGGATGCGCGCCAAGTGTAGCTCGCTTGACTGCATGCATAATGCTTGTCGTTGTACGCTTGTGTTGTTGTTAGTTGCATTTGTGTTTACTTATACAATAATTATTAATGATAAATAAATTGCTTCAAAAAAAAAAATATATATATATATTATGTAAAAAAATGGTCAGATAGTTGAGATAATATCTATTTAATGATACGAAGGCCACAAACCGACACGACAGTCCAACACGATACGACACGACACATATTACCAAAGGTGGGGGGGGGGCGGCATTCAGGTAGTGATGTAGACTCAGGACTTCAATTATCATTTTCGCGGTCGCATTGTGTGTGTGTGTGTGTGTGTGTGTGTGTGTGTGTGTGTGTGTGTGTGATGTTCTTGTTGTTATCTGGCCAGGTGGATATAACCCCTGCGATATCTTCTCTTATCTCTACAACGATAACATCTTGGGGCGGAGTAAAGTAACCCTTTTCAACTACGATACTTCCTCTGCTTCCAGGACGGTGCCACACAACCCTTGGGGGCCCCCTGTACACCACGACCTGGGGGCCCCCTGTACACCACGACCTGGGGGCCCCCTGTACACCACGACCTGGGGGCCCCCTGTACACCACGACCTGGGGCCCCTGTACACCTGACCTGGGGCCCCTGTACCGACCTGGGGCCCCTGTACACCACGACCTGGGGCCCCCTGTACACCACGACCTGGGGCCCCCTGCACACCACGACCTGGGGCCCCTGTACACCACGACCTGGGGCCCCCTGTACACCACGACCTGGGGCCCCCTGTACACCACGACCTGGGGCCCCCTGCACACCACGACCTGGGGCCCCTGTACACCACGACCTGGGGCCCCCTGTACACCACGACCTGGGGCCCCCTGCACACCACGACCTGGGGCCCCTGTACACCACGACCTGGGGCCCCTGTAAACCACACAAGACGACCCGGTATCCTTTCTTGGACAGTTCTGTTGACAGAAAGTGACAGAAAAGAAGACAGACACCTGGACTACACACCTGGACTACATACCTGGACTACACACCTGGACTACATACCTGGGCTACACACCTGGACCTCACACCTGGACTACATACCTGGGCTACATACCTGGACTACACACCTGGACTACATACCTGGACTACACACCTGGACTACACACCTGGACTACACACCTGGGCTACACATGACAGACAGACTATCATGGCGGCAGGGATATAGCAAAACAATGAAGGTGTTGTAGGGTGTTATGTTTCCACCACAACAACAACAACAATAGCAATAATAACAACAATAATAATAACAATATTCACAACAATAACCACCACCACCACCACCACAACAACCACCACCACCACCACCACCATCACAACAACAACCACCACCACCACCACCACCATCACAACAAGCAACCACCTACCACCATCACCACACAACAACAAAATAGAAATATCTCAGCTAAAGTAGATATTTCCTTGGTTGAAGAGTGAGTGAGTGAGAGAGAGAGAGAGAGAGAGTAAGAGAGTGAGAGTGAAGAGGAAGAGGAGGAAGAAGAGGAAGAGGACTATGTATACGACCACACGTGTGTACCTCCACCCACCATTGTTACTAAGAACACCTGACCTGCTGAACTTATTAGATTTACAGGTTAGGTTAGGTCAGTAGAGAGAGCCATGACCTGTGCCTCAGTAAACAGTGTGAGGCGACTGCTTGTTCCCGCCCACCTCCACGCCCACATGTACGCAGAGTACGGTGAGTGGCCTTGATTGACTATATACCTGTGTTCACCTGGATCATCACTACGCAGTTCAGGGCCAGGTGCAGTGTGTCAGTATTATTGTGTGTGGGGGGGTCCATTTCACCCATGTGATGCAGAACATGCACTAAGGAGGGGGGAGGAGGAGGAGACTGCCTGACTTGGCACTCAGGTTGGCATCTCTCCTCCTATCCCTCCCTTCGTCTCGTGCCCTGCCGCCCCTGGCACCGGCACCTCCACCCCTGATCTGCGCCCCAGACTGTTGCCGCCCTCCTACTACACCCCAGACTTTCGCCGCCCTCCTGCACCCAGAGACTGCCGCGCCTTAAGTCCCTACCCTGCCACCCTCTTCTTGTATGTGAGAGAGGTTCCTCGCTGTCAGTAGTCTCTCACAGAAAAAGATAAAAGGAGTTGATATTTTTCTCAACGTAAGATGTCCTCTCTCTCTCTCTCTCTCTCTCTTTCTCTCAGTTTAATGACCCGTAGGTATTACAGTGCCCTTATACACACACGCACACACACACACACACACACACACACACACGAGTTCACATACACTGTGCCTCCCCCCTTGCTTCTGACTCCACTCCTGGACGCTGGCACTGAAGAGGGTGCCAAGGAATGCCAACTCTGAATGGGTGTTTGCGTGAGAGTGCATGAGTGACACACACACACACACACGAATGCATGACAGACACGTACACATCACGCACACACGTATGCATGAGACACGTACACATGACACACACACACATGAATGCATGACAGGCACGTACACAAGACACACACACGTACACATGACACACACACGAATGCATGACAGGCACGTACACATGAGACACACGTACACATGAGACACACGTACACATGAGACACACGTACACATGAGACACGTACGCATGACACACACACGAATGCATGACAGGCACGTACATAGGACACACGTACACATAGGCACACACACAGATGCATGACAGGCACATTACACATAGGACACACGTACATATGAGACACACGTACACATATGGGACACACGTGTATGACACACACACGAATGCATGACAGGCACGTACATGGAACACGTACATAACCGCACAGATGCATGACAGGCGTTCATGAGATGCATGCACATAGTACACGTACACATGAGACCTTACATGCACGGCACACACACACAGATGGCGACCAGGCACGTACACATGAGACACACGTACACATGACACACACACGTACACATGACACACACACACGTACACATGACACACACACACGTACACATGACACACTATCTCAAAGATCTATTTACAAACAGGTGATTGGATCTCTCTCTCTCCTTACCTGTGTGAGTTGTAAACATGGCAGAAATAGGGTCACTTTTGTTGTTTACAGTGGTACCCGTCACTTATTAGGGGGTTTACAGTGGTACCCGTCACTTATTAGGGGGTTTACAGTGGTACCCGTCACTTATTATGGTGTTTACAGTGGTACCCGTCACTTATTAGGGGGTTTACAGTGGTACCCGTCACTTATTAGGGTGTTTACAGTGGTACCCGTCACTTATTATGGTGTTTACAGTGGTACCCGTCACTTATTATGGTGTTTACAGTGGTACCCGTCACTTATTATGGTGTTTACAGTGGTACCCGTCACTTATTATGGTGTTTACAGTGGTACCCGTCACTTATTATGGTGTTTACAGTGGTACCCGTCACTTATTATGGTGTTTACAGTGGTACCCGTCACTTATTTTGGTGTTTACAGTGGCACTCATTATTTACAAAGCTGCACCGTAGTATGTCACTTATATAGAGATGTACCGTTGTTCCGTCACTCATAAATCCGTACAGTTGTTCCGTCACTCATAAAACCCGTACTGTTGTTCCGTCACTCATAAATTCGTACCGTTGTTCCGTCACGTACCGTCACATATCACATCACTACAGATCCAGTAAAGTGTCGTTCTGTCGTTCCTTCTGTCCATAACACAACTTCAGCACCTCGACACTCCCACCCACCACAACCACCGCCATCAATAGCTTTAACCACATTAATGTTTTCAGTCGCATTAAAGTTATCACATTATCCTTAAGACAAGTAGGAGATTAAGGGTTAATTCCTCGTCGTAGTAAGGGAGAACTTTGTCTAGGTAGAAGTGAGAGACGGTGTGAGGGGCGCGGCTGTTGTGAGAGGACCCGGCCAGTGTGTGTATGTGAGTGATCCCAGTGTTGGAACGTCAGAGAGGAGTGGAGGGCAGTCATCGCGCCTCAGTCATGGTGAAGGTGCCAGCTACCACCTCTCCCTCCTGCTGTTGCTGCCCCCCACCCCCCCTACAGGAGATAACTACCTCAACCACCGTGTTCTAACCTTGTTCTAGAACCAACTTGATGCATCATACCGTGTTCTATATTTGTTCTTTTTTGTTAGTGAACATTTACCTGATCAATAATAACAATAACAATATTATTGCATCATCACTACTCATACACCACTCCACACACACACGCGCACACACACACACACACACACACACACACAGACACACACACACACACACACCATAAATCTCACGAGACTTCCTAAGAAAATTTATTAAATATTTCCATATGTTTGTTATGGCACCAGAGTCCAAATAAAGCGAGAGAACACAGGCCTCGAGAGACGTGGCATACCTTGGCACTGAGAGAGGGGTGCCAGAGGTAGTGCCTCACTCAGCCTGGTGAATCAAATACACTCAAAGGTGAACCTGTGTTATGTTACTGTAGGGCCGAGGACATAGCATGGGGAGTGATAGGGAGGGAGGAGAAGGAGGGCAGGTGATGGGGTGGGGAGGAAGGAGGGGCAGGAGTGATGGGGTGGTGGCGAGAAAGAGAGGGGGGTGGGGGAGGGGGTGGGGAAGGAGAAGAGGAGGGGGGTGGGGAGGAGGAGGTGGAGGGGGAGAAGGAGGGGGCAGGTGATGGGGGTGGGAGGAGAAGGAGGGGCAGGTGATGGGGTGGGGAGGGAGAAGGAGCAGGTGATGGGGTGGGAGGAGGGCAGGTGATGGGGTGGGAGGAGGAGGTGGGGAGGAGGAGGGGAGGAGGAGGAGGGCAGGTGATGGGGTGGGGAGGAGAGGTGATGGGGTGGGGAGAGAGGAGGGTGATGGGGTGGGAGGAAGGAGGAGGAGGTGATGGGGTGGGGAGGGAGGAGGGAGGTGGGGGTGGGGGAGGAGGAGGGGGAGGTGATAGGGTGGGGAGGAGGAGGGGAGGTGAAGTGGGGGGTGGCGTTAAGGAAGGAAGTAAGAATGGGTGAAAGAAGGGGAGAGGATAGGCGTGAAGGGAGTAAGGGGGGGCAAGAGCGGACAGAGGGTGAATAAGAATGGAATGGACTTGAGGTGGGGAATGGGAGAGGGAGGAAGAGGAGAGAGAGGGAGGGAGAGGGAGGGAGAGAGAGGGAGGAAGAGAGAGAGGGAGGGAGAGGGAGGAAGGGGAGAGAGAAGGGGGTATAAGTAGAGCGTTAGGATACACACATTGCATCATCAGCCATGGACGGAGGCAAACAGCGGCACAGATTGTTAACACTTATCCTCGCCACAGATAAACTATTCGACGCTCTGCTGGCCGCATGTGTAATGACGGTCAGAGGGAAGTTGACGTAGCACCCAAGGCCGCAGCCGCAGCTCAGGTACACGCCTCCTGATCACCACCTCGTCAACACTCTCACTGGCAACTAAAATGCTTGGGTTTGGTTAGGTTAGGTTAGGTTAGGTTAGGTTAGGTTAGGTTAGGTTAGGTTAGGTTAGTCTTCCGGTGATCTACAATTTGGGTCACCAGGTAAGTTATTCTGCTAATTACTGGCCATAAAATCAACACAGGTAGATTAACACCTGGTGGACTGGGTTATAACAACACACACACACACTCTCACTTCTCTCTCTCGCTGACTTACTGGCCAAGGTGAGGCAGGGTCAGGCCCCAGGCAGGTGTGGCAACAGTCATGTGCTGTCCTGACCAGACCAACCGTGTGTACATAAGACTATACCATGTGTGTGGGGGTGAGGGGGATATGCGTGTGTGTGAGTGTGTGTGTGAGTGTGTGTGTGAGTGTGTGTGTGTGTGTGTGTGTGTGTGTGTGTGGTGAGTGCGTGCGTGTGGGGTGAGTGCGTGTGGGGGGGTCTAAGAATAACTTCGTATAGTTGTATTAACTCCGTCTGTCTGTCTCTCTCTCTCTCTCTCTCTCTCTCTCTCTCTCTGTTTCCCTCTTCCACCGCGCGTCATTCTTCCACCAGTCAGGTCAGGAAGGAATGATGGAGCGACAGAGGTCAACCAATACTTGACCCAAAGGACGCCATGGCAACAGTCAGGTCATGAGAGGTCAACCTTGCGGTATATAAGTGACCTCAGTTTCACGTCTTGACCTTCTCCTCTGTTACTTTTTATAGCTCAGTCAGGTCATGTGAGGTCGGGGGTCACAGCCTGGATTATTGAAAACTGGAGTGACCTGGAACAAGGCAGTGTGTGACCTGGTGTGTCGCGTCTATGAGGAGGAAGAGGAGCAATAGAGGAAAGTGAATGAGGAAGAGGAGGTGGAAAAGGAAGAGGCTTATTTCACCTGATGTTAAATACCTTAATACTAACCTAACCTAACCTCCTCCATTTACCATTAAGGTATTTAATCATCAGGTAAAATGGGGGTGACTAATCTTCAGGTGATCATCATTATCTAATTTATTATATTTTATTTTTATTATCTTTCTTTTTTTAAATGTTTTTCATCTTAAAAAAAAATCTAAATGACCAAATTGTTGCGAGTGATTCCATTTTTAATCTGTTCCTCTTCTCTTGTTTACATTTTGTCCCACCAACCCTTCCCCTACTCCCTCCTTCCCTTGACCCAATATAGGTCAAAGCCACACCCCTTTCCCCCCCTGACCTCACGTTCCTCCTTGACCCAGTAATGAAGTCCAACTGTCCTCAAGTCAGTCACTGGCAGAAATAACTCATAGAAAAGCGCATATAACCTGTTTTTCTAAGTCTTTTTCAATTATAACATCTTGGGGAAGTTGGAATCAGCTTGAAACCGTGAATTAGTAAGCTGGGTGACGCCAATAGTAACGCTAAGCTGGTGTTAGGTGACGTCAATCATAACACTAAGCTGGTGCTGGGTTAAAAATATCTCCAGTAGCGGTGTGTTGCTGTGTTGCTGTTATCAAGTGATGTTGGCTTATCAATAGAGGGAATTTTTAGGAGAAAGTACAGTACATTGACTTCACCCTGAGTTTATCCTTCAAATAGAGGTGAACGACTGATAAACACAGATAATGGCGTCGATAAAGGATAACGTATTTATATATCACATGATTCTTCTTATCTTTGAGTGGAACTTTTCTCTCTTTTCTCTCTTCGTCGAAAAGTAAGTTAATTTTTTCTTTATTTTAAGATATACGTGTACAAGATAGCGCCCTCGTCTCGTCTTTTCCTTGAGTGTTTGGCCAGAGACAGTCAATAGTGGAACCATATTCTCAAAAAAATCCTAACTTATAATTTAATGACGACGTTCACAACCCCTTCAAAAAATTCTTCTAAATTAAAAATACCATTAAAGAGATACGTTTTCTTATCTTTAATAACGTAATAATAAAATAAACAATTCTAATGGATAACTTTTATGGAATCCGGATTTAAAATATTGTGAAGAAGGAATGTTATCTTGTTCCCGGGGACTCACAAGCTGGGTACACTCTATTACGTATCATATCTTTACAAACTCTACTTAAACAACATCAAATAAAACACTAAACACAATAACTGTTATCAAAGCATCACGTTAAAGACACCTCCTGTAATATATAACAGCCAAAATATAAATTAATGTTTGTTGATTTCAATGTCGACACCGCAACCCTGACACGACATTTTTCCCAGCGTCGCCGGCAGCGTTGAGCAACTTCAAGATCAAGGTCAGGGTGTGTGTCCTGCTCGCTTCCTCCTCCCACATTTCTTCCTTTATCTACCTATATACAGTCTGGGGGCTTTATAAGACATGATAAATACGGCTTAAAGGATTCATAAGAAGAGTTATTAAAGAGTATTTGAAGTGTTAGTTACATCGATGTATTCCTACCGTCGCACCCATAGACGATGCCAGACGTACGATACACAGTAGATTATCGTACATGTGCGTGTATTGTGGTGTACATTTCTTACAGTGTGTGTATGTGAGTGTGTGCATGTTTAGTCCCGTGTGCGTGTAGTGGAGCATAGTAATAGCTCTCATTCAGGAGTGGGGGGGAGGAGAGATAAATAAATGCGTGTGTGTGAATTGGCGATAAAAAAGTAAACACGAAAGAGAGAGAGAGAGAGAGAGAGAGAGAGAGAGAGAGAGGGGATTTACCGTCCAGAAAAAAATTATATTAGAGGTAGAGAAGCAAGAGTGACTACATCAGAGAGTAACATAGCTCGAGTAGTGAGGAGGAGGAGGGGAGAGTAGGAGTGGCACGTCATTCATATTATTACTGTGAACAAGAAGGAGGTAACCAGGTGAGGCCTTGGGACACACTGCCTGCTGGTACCATATAGCTGCCTCAAGGTGGATCTGATTAACTCGCCAGGTATGAACGAGTGTGAGTGAGAACAAGTGATGAACAGTGTGATGGGGGGGAGCCACAGTTTGCTCACAACTCACAAACCAGTTTTTACACCTCCCCTCCTTCTGCGCCCCCCTCCCCCTCCCTCCTTCTGCGCCCCCTCCCCCCTCCTCCTGCGCCCCCCTCCCTCCCTGATCTCATCCTCCCTCAGACACACAAACATGGCCTCTATCAACACGACCCAACCCAATGGGATATTTACTCTTATGCATCTCACTAATAAGGGTCATTTTAGCTCCACGGTTATAATGGCAATAGTTCTCATCTGGAATAAGTATAAAATGGCGGGGTAAAAGGAACGATGGGGGATAATCTATGCGGGGAAAAAAAATATTAACAAAAACAAGTTCGCGAAGACGTGAATTGGTGGTGGTGGGTGAGAATAAGGGCGGTATTTCCCTGTGTGTTGTCCCTTGGTGGTATAGGTCCTTACTGCACGGCCAAACTGGAGCATCCGTTCCAAGGACACCCCGACCATCCTACCCTGATGTCCTTTCCGCCATATTGGGAACTCCAGGTGATAGCGAGGAGGAGGCGTGGCCACTACCTACGTGTTGGCAGGTGATGTATGTAGTCACGGAGGTTCTGGGGGTCTTCAC